CTTTACGGTACTAACTGCTTTTTCGGATAATATTTAGGACACCCACCCCCTTTTGCCGGCTTTTGCGGTACTAACTGTTGAGAAATCACGGTACTAACTGTGTCTTGGTATATAAAATAAGATACCCACCCAGAAATTGCTTTAAACAGCTCATTAAACATTTGAAAATGGGCAAATTGTACCCACTATTTAGTAGGGGTTTTGTTTTCAATGTAGTCGAATTAGATAAATGTTACAAAAAACATTTAAAAATTATAAAAAACCCAAAAAAATTCAAAAAAACCTCAAAACCCATTCCCAAGATTGAAATTTGAGGTAAAATGGGTTTTTTTTGGGGTTGGACATCCCCTTTAGTACCATGTACTAACTGTTTTTTTGGGAAATGAGCAGCATACCCACCACTTAGTACACAAGTACTAACTGCGTTTTGGAAGAAAATATGTGCATTTTAGGTCAGGAATGGTCATCAAAATAGGTTTATAACAAGGTCGCAAATTTTGTCAATTATTAGATGTAAAGTACAGTGCAGCTGTACTTACACTTACATTCACAAGCATGCTCTGGTGACGTCATAATCACGTGACCCCAGGCTCATAATCACGTGACCTCAGACCCAATCAACTGGGTTCTTACCCTGACCCTGACCCTGACCCTGACCCTGACCCTGACCCTGACCCTGACCCTGACCCTGACCCTGACCCTGACCCTGACCCTGACCCTGACCCTGACCCTGACCCTGACCCTGACCCTGACCCTGACCCTGACCCTGACCCTGACCCTGACCCTGACCCTGACCCTGACCCTGACCCTGACCCTGACCCTGACCCTGACCCTGACCCTGACCCTGACCCTGACCCTGACCCTGACCCTGACCCTGACCCTGACCCTGACCCTGACCCTGACCCTGACCCTGACCCTGACCCTGACCCTGACCCTGACCCTGACCCTGACCCTGACCCTGACCCTGACCCTGACCCTGACCCTGACCCTGACCCTGACCCTGACCCTGACCCTGACCCTGACCCTGACCCTGACCCTGACCCTGACCCTGACCCTGACCCTGACCCTGACCCTGACCCTGACCCTGACCCTGACCCTGACCCTGACCCTGACCCTGACCCTGACCCTGACCCTGACCCTGACCCTGACCCTGACCCTGACCCTGACCCTGACCCTGACCCTGACCCTGACCCTGACCCTGACCCTGACCCTGACCCTGACCCTGACCCTGACCCTGACCCTGACCCTGACCCTGACCCTGACCCTGACCCTGACCCTGACCCTGACCCTGACCCTGACCCTGACCCTGACCCTGACCCTGACCCTGACCCTGACCCTGACCCTGACCCTGACCCTGACCCTGACCCTGACCCTGACCCTGACCCTGACCCTGACCCTGACCCTGACCCTGACCCTGACCCTGACCCTGACCCTGACCCTGACCCTGACCCTGACCCTGACCCTGACCCTGACCCTGACCCTGACCCTGACCCTGACCCTGACCCTGACCCTGACCCTGACCCTGACCCTGACCCTGACCCTGACCCTGACCCTGACCCTGACCCTGACCCTGACCCTGACCCTGACCCTGACCCTGATGGTTACCAGATCATATGACTGCATAATAACAGTACACAGACTTGCTTGCGATGATGTGAACCGGCCCTTGACAAGTTGACACTGAATCAAGCAGGGTTCACATCATCCAAAGCACGATCAACGGTTGGTTCTCATAATCTTTTACTTGAACAGTGACACATTTTAATTCAATTTAAATTTATCACAGATCATAGTAACAGACTGAAGTGTAGCACAGTTTACTACCATATTAAACTTAAAGAGAACTGAATGGTAGTGAACTGGAAGTGGAGCAGCTATATACGGACAGCTGTGCTCATCATATTTGGTCTCAACAGTCAACATTCCTCATTGTCCGCTTACTTGTATCAAGATATATCTGTATTCTCGTAGTTAAATTGTAGTTAAACTGTGCTACACTTCAGTCTGTTACTATGATCTGTGATAAATTTAAATTAAATTAAAATTTGTCACTGTTCAAGTAAAAGATAATGTGAACCAACCGTGCTTTGGATGATGTGAACCCTGCTTAAATAATTTGACATGATGTCGCCCAACTCACTTCGAACATTGGTAATTTTCATGGTACTGTGCTTTGAAAATATTCCTGTCCCGATTTTTTGGTGTTATATTATGTTATCATTTTCAATTCCCGAATTTTTCCGTTTACAAAACGATTACAATTCTAGTTAGGAAGACACAGAAAATTTGTTTATGGATAATTTGTTAATCTAATATCGGAGTTAATTGAACCTTTTTAGTCAGTGGTCATGCAACTTGAACGTGAGTAATTATAGAAATGATTTATTCTATAAGGTTACTTATGAATTTATTCGAGAAATAATCTGGAAGTATTATCGGCATCTTTTCACACATATATGACTACGAGCACATAGTCATACATTGTATCACGTGGTGACCCCCACTGTCGCTTCACTATAGCAAGGCCGACCAAGACAAAGCTACTTGTTTATGTTACTGAAGGAAGTTGGGACAAACTCTAAAAAGGAACTGCGAACCCTGATGCGGGACAGGGATATATGGAGGTGGTTTTCTGGCGTAGATTTGTATCACGTTGCGACCCCCACGGTCGTTTCACTATATGGCGATACAGGGGGAGCCGTGCACTCGTGTGCGGCGGGTCATGCAACGTATGACTTACCATGCGGCCGCACTCAGCCTGTCATTCCGCCGAACCTCTATGTTAATGAACATGATAGCCTGAGGTCCCCAGGTAACGTATGACAAGCGTAAATCGCACTTGTGCTGGCCGAAATTAGCGCTAAAAAACCATCCTACAGTCGGCACGCGCGGCTCACTGTCGATGGCGCACTACCTTAAATTAGCAAAAGTTTAAAGTTCGTTAGTGTAAATAGTTGGGCTCTTATGGCGTAGTTCGCCATTCGTTTGTCTAGCTGCCTGCTTGTGAAATGCCTTGCATTCACAGGCCGTCCCAGGTTCGATTCCGTCTTTGTCGCTAGCCATGGGGTGAGCGTCGTTATGACGCTCTGCTAAGGGTTTCGTTGGACCTATGCAGGCGCCCATCAGTCTACTCTGTATAGGTAGTGCGCCATCGACAGTGAGCCGCGCGTACCGACTGTAGGATGGTTTTTTAGCGCTAATTTCGGCCAGCACAATTTTCTTCAAACAAATAGATATTAAGTATCCTTCCCGACCTCCGATTGCAACAAAAATTGGTAAGCTTACTGATAGACTTACAAGGAAAGTGTCCGAAAAGTTTGAAGCATATCCAACCATCAAACATTATGTTACAGCTAAAAGCAGCGTATTTTGCCCCATTTTGATTACTATATCATATATCAACTCCGATATACACCAAATTTTTCGGACAGTTGTGAAACACTGCCGCGCGCAGTGTTGTGACCCCTCTTCGTCGTATTTTACAAATATTTGGACGTTGGCAATTTATTCAATTGATAATTTTAAAGTTTTAACATTTTTAATATTAAATTCTTTTTTAATATAGTTCTAAAACGATTTAGCTTGCTTTCTGTGAAAATTTAATGTACTTTCGTAAAATAATTTTGATGTGGCAGCGATTTGAAAAAAAAATTAGTTAAAAATGATACAAAAAAATTGGACATTTTTTGATATTAAAACATGTATAACTTGGGCTGTGTTGACAGTAGAAAAATAATTTAACCCTTGTCCGAAAGGTTTACAAAAGTTTTACGCGCCGCGCATAATTGCCGCGCAATTTCGCGTGTCAAATCCGTCTAAGAGTGAACATAATTGATGAAGGAGCACTTTGAGCTTTACACCTCGTGCGTTCACTGTTCGCGTCTTAATTGCGCCCAGTTCACTGTTGCCTCGCGTTATTCCATCATCCATATTTCTGCTCTTAGTTGCTTTATAATGTGTCAGCAGTAATCAGCCCTGCTGTATTATATATTGTGCTTGATTGTTGATACCTAATTAATTAACTGTTTACGATGGCAGTTATGGTGGATGATGATTAATCACTCTACAATCGCCTGTCACGTGACTTCTTCAACCCGTTCTGTAGATGGCCCTAAACAACTATTCGAAACCCGGAAACCATAACCCTCTAAGCAGATCCCAACCCTAACGGCATAACCCTAACCAAATCCTTTACAAAAGCATATACTGAAACACTATAGAGAAATTAGGCTAACTTCCTTATACGGTCATATCACGTGATCGAGACAGTTTTTCGCCAATATCTCGTTAGGGGAGAATTTTAACCTTATGTCATGGGGGTAATAGGTAAGTACTTAGTAACCTCTTTGCTTTTATTCGAGCCTTTTATTAAATCGAAGTTACAGTTCACGAGGTTGATCCTTTGGGAGATATTAAATCCTGTTTTACTATTATTTATAAATTCTAACGTTTAACTTTAATAATAATAAGTAAGTTTGGACGCAGACTAGAAACGAGTTTAATCGACTAAGTTTTTGATTTTGTGTACCTTTTTATCATACAACTTTTTAATTTCAGCAAATTTTAGTTAAAGAGTAAATCAAAGTTAGCAATCATTGAACTCAATAGTTAAAAAGGTGACTGTAAAAATAGAACTAAGATTTCGATACTTTTAAATGAACTTCTAGTTCTAATGATATAATTTTAAATTATTAGATGTTTAAATTTTCCTGATAGCTGGATCAGTCATGTAGAAATTAGGTTAAACATTGTCATGCAGAAATTAGGTTGAAATAATTTTGTCCATAGAAAACACAGTCACGCCTTACATTATTACAAGCTTTAAAGGGCTCGTGAGTCGTGTTAGTGTTACTATTACTTTTGAGCTTGAAAGCAGACAAAACTTTGCTTATTTGTTTGTTTATTATTTTGTTTGTTATTAGAGAAAGAAGACAATATTACCTCTCTATTATTTCAGGAGAAGCTAAAAGCGGTGAAAGACGCTAAAAGCGCTACAAGAAGCATCTCCCGCAGGAGCTGTTGAATCAGCACGCTGAAGAAGTACAGAGACTGGTGAACAAGCTGATAAACTCAGACAGCAGCAAAAACTTCAAGTGAGCTTCGTGACGTCATTGACATTACCGTCGTTGTGACGTCATTTTCGATGTTGATCGAATGAATTTATTTGTATTCTAGAGATTCTATTTTAGCATTTGACAAGTAACAACTTTGGCTCTGTTTACTGTGCTGTAATGCACTGAACGACCGGGATTCCCGGCGCCGGGGGAGGTGTTTATTCCCGGCCCCGGCCAATTTTGAGTTTTTGGCCGGGAATTATAGATTAAAAAGTCACATAAGAACATAAAAACTACTGTCTTATTTGACCCACAATTCATACTTACATTTACAACTTATCTTATATTGGTAAGGGATCAATTAGCCGAAGTTAAAATGGAAAGTGCCAGTTTTACTTTAAAGTCTGAAGCACTGAGCGTGAAAAGTGATATTAAAATGGACTCTAAAAGTGCCTGTGTCTTCATACTATGGTGTTCCGCCTCACTTCTATACTACTATAATCGAGCACAGGACTTGACAAGCACACTAAAACAAGTTGTGTAAAAAATACCACCAGTTCACGGCCCAACCACATTGTTTATTTATACACCCAGTGAATTATTCCTTATATGGCGCGGAACATTCCTGGCCTAACGTGTGTGCCGTGTTTCTCCGCACTATCAGTTGACTACCATTCATGTAGTTGACTGCCACTGTACTCGCATTTATGTGTTACTTTTTTTTACGTGTTTGATTTAAATTGCTCGTGATTAGACACACGTTCGGTGAATGGGGAGGGGATAGTTTTCACTTTTCAGACAAGGGAAGGGGCAAGGAAACGTGTGATTACTTGATTATTGATTTTTCACGTTTTAAGTTAATCTCGACACGTGTTCAGTAATTATGTGTTTTATAAATACCCTACTGTTTACACTTTTTAAATCCCTTTAAAGCCAACAATATAATCCACAAAACAGACTCCTGGCACTAATTTAAGGATCTAAAATAGGCCCGGGCTTTTTTTAAAGTTACTGACATGACGCTGGTCCTCACTTTTTGGAGTCTACTCCCTCATTTCCAGGTTAGTGCACTATTAGTGGGGAGGAGGTGTATTAACTTTATCAGTCACGTAACCTCATGACACTCCCCATCACGGGTAACTTGTAATGGTAACGTTGTCATGGTAACAGAAATGTGTTTTCAGGCTGAACAGGAAGCTGTACAACAACCGGTCTGACAAGTTACAAGTGGTGGACCTACATCATCTAGATGTACAGGTTCGTTCATTTACTGATTGATAGCTATTTTAATGAACTTATTTGTTTAGATTTATGACGTGTTTCTCAATTGACAATTTTATACCCTCGAGATAATACAAAATTCTATGAAGGATACATTTTTAATGTTCAATTACATAAATGACAAACTTAAGTTGACTAAATCGCTGCCTGTATTTGGATTATTTAAAAAAATCAATTTGGTGTGACCACAGTACCATAAGTCGCACTGAGCATAAAACCTGTGAGCGAATCACCATACTTAAAGAGTGTGTGCCAGCTCATGTCCGTCTTCATAACCTCTTCCCTCCACTGTCCCCATCTTGACTGCATCTCAAGAGAGCCGCATTGAACTTCACTTTCATGCTCGAGGTTTCTTTTAACTCTCTGAAGGACCTCAGCTTGTTGTTCCCGGGCGTTCATCTTCTTCCACGGTTTCTTCCATTCTCCAAAACCAATCCTTGCCCTGCTGTACGGCTGGACCATTCCTCTCACCGCTTCACAGACTAAGTCCCTCTCAGCACAATCTAGTTCCTTGTCTGGTCTCCAAACTCTCCCTGACCTGACTTGCGGTTGAATCGCCCTTATCATGTCATCAAAAAACTGCTGGTAGGACTGTTGGAGTCGACATTTCTCCAGCTTCCAAGTATCGGACAGGCTGCCGATGGGCAAGGCCACACTAGATGTTTGACTAAATAAGCAGATGTTACTCAGTTTGACCCACATGTGAAGGTCGCTAAACTAAATGTAATATTTCAGGTACAAATTCTACTAGTACGATTCGATGCAGTGGAAGAGGTTGAAGTTGACGTTTAAGCAGTCACCCTGCCGAACAAGAAATCAGTCAGGCAAAGAGGCTAGGTTGACTAGAAACTCAATCACTATATCCGTGAAACTTGCTGGAAGCTATGTGAGTTATTTTACCTCCTTATTTCAAATGACCTCCAAACCAATTACATTGAACTTTGAAGAGGTGAAGAAACCATTAATATTTACTGAATTAAATGCGACTATAAAACCGAAATAGTAATACACTGCTGACTACAAAGAAACATCTTACATGGGGCCAGGCTCATATAAGTGTTCATATGTTAGTGTTCATAGCCGTTGGAAATATGGCGGAATGACAGGCTGAATGTGGCCCAGTAGAAGAAAAAAACATTATAATTCTTTCCGACCATAATAGAAATACAATTAAACTAGAATGAAACAAAGAGTATTAAATTTTTAAATTAGTCGAGTCAACCAAATTTCACAGAGAAGCTGGACATTTATACGACAATTTAAACGCAATGTGTATGCGCCGTGATCAATGGTCACGGCGCAGAACCATTGCGCCGTGACCGTTGATCACGGCGCATAACCCGTAAGATGCTGCGCACATTTTTGATTTTAAAATGGCGGGAACACATTTCAACTGCCATTGTTATACGATACATTGAAGTGCATAGTGGAGTGTGTGGTCTGATAGTAGACAGAGGATTTATTTGAAACATTCCCGGTGCCTTCAACTGTTCTTTGCACTGACTATTTGATTGCTTAAACGAATAGGCGAGCCTTCAAAAACATTAGTTTTCATAGTTTTATGATGCAAATATGATTTTTCCATTTACTTAACTGATAATACCCCCAATATCTTTTCAGGTGTGGAGGTCGGACCGAAACTGTAATCAGACACTAAACATTAACGAGGACCAATTATTTTACTCCCTTAATGATGAATAAAGATCGCTGATTGCTTTTACTAATATATAGTGTTAAAATGAAAAAGAAACTGTTGAGACGAAAGAGAAAAACGCACTCATTTATTTATAGTTTTATGTCTTAACAATGTTATTCGAAAGCTAATTTTAAAAGCTGGCTCTGAATCCTTGCTAAATGATTTGGGAAGGTGTAAGGGCTAAATATGCCTGTAGACATCATTTTCAGTGGGTTTTATGAAGTTTATGATTAGGGTATATTTTGGGACTGAAATAAGCGCAAGACCTTCGACGTTTCTATTGCTACTGTTTTTTTAATTTAGCAAATATACAAACAAATTTTATACTGTCGTAAAGATAAAATATTTAGTTATCGGATAGAGACTTGAAAATTAAGTATTACAATAACCAAGCTAAAATATTCAATGTTAAACTCAAAAATTTTCACGCGTTTATGAAAAAATATTTAGTTCTGCGCGTAGTTTTTTGGTCACATCTACGGCAAATTTTCGCCAATTTTGTTCATAATTTCAAAATGTTATTTAGTAGACAAATTACTTTCGGACTACATCCATATTGTTTATTTAAGTCTAAAAGAAACCACATTTATTTGACTTCAAAATTGTTCAATCTGAATACGAGCTAATTACGACGAAGGGAGGTCACGACACTGCGCGCAGGAGTGTGAAAGCCCTATTGGAAGGTCGTCGCCAATTTTCAGAATGATCTCATTCAAGGAACTGAAGATATATCCAAATAATACGACAAAAATCAACGAATTTGGTCAAATTTGGTCAAATTACGCGACTTTTACAGCTAATTTTGCTCCAAAAGCCGCGCACCATCAAATATGGCACCTAGGCGAAACTCACTGATCTTTCCAAAAAGGTATGACAAATTTGGTATTGTGAAAATTCTCACAGTCTCTAGAAAACAATGGTACAAAAATTTTTAAAATCCGAGCAAGTTTATTTTTATGGTGCACGCCCTACTCTGTACTCAGCCGAATGCTCGAGAAATCGTGTGTGATCTGAGGGTTAAATGAGGAGCTGGACATGATCAATACAGTGAAGCTTCGGGCGAAGGAAGCGTGGTATAACACCTTAGTTGATACATGTTACGTATCACAAATATCAGAGATCATTTTAACCTTATGTCATGGTGGGTGATTCGGAATCAGCGTCCGAAAATACATCGATTGAAATTGGTTACAACCGTCGGGGGCCCTTTTTATTTAGAACAATCTCGAAGATCGACTGTAGAGTGATTTAGCACGCTCGGCCCGGTTTGCGTTCCTATAAAGTCAGACGACAGGATTAAACAAGTAAACATTAAGTTCAAGTTTCTCATGGAAATGTAAGTGTCGTCACTCGTCCATCAGAAATAGGTAAGAGAGAAAGAACAGAAAAACGATGCAACAGGCAAAAGCAAACCAGGCGACGGAAAATAAAAAATTAGAGGCTTCGTAATAACAATCTAACCAGAATTCTCAAAAGATGAGTTCAAAAGATTGGTAGTCACCAAACAAACAGGCAACGTCACGAAATTGTAAATTTTGGCTAATGAAGGTCCTGCAGTTAAAACGTAATAAAAGAAATTTGTATGTCCTGCGGAGTAAATCTAATTATTGCATTTATAGTGCGCGGCTTAGTGTTACAAAATTTAGTAGTTTTGAACAAAACTACAAGTTTTTACATTTTAGTTTACACAAATATTAAAACATTCACATTTTTATTTGCATGAAGGTTACAATGACTTAATAAAGTCGTTTAAATAATAAAAACAGTACAAAGATACCAAGTAAATTCACAAAACTTGCAACAGCAACGCATTTAGCTGTTTTCGTGGCGCGCGCGCCAGCTCACTCAATTACTCCCATATTTGGTCAAATAGGATAATAGGGACGCAAAATATGCGTCCCTCCAAAATGTCCGATTCCCTTTATTGTATGCCCCTTTTTCCGCCTTCGGCGGCGCGCGCTTCGCGCGCGAAAAGTGGCATGCAACGTATGTCAACACCTTAGGCTTAATAGGTAGTGCGCCATCGACAGTGAGCCGCGCGTGCCGACTGTAAGATGGTTTTTTAGCGCTAATTTCGGCCAGCACAATTTTCTTCAAACAAATAGATATTAAGTATCCTTCCCGACCTCCGATTGCAACAAAAATTGGTAAGCTTACTTATAGACTTACAAGGAAGGTGTCCGAAAAGTTTAAAGCATATCCAACCATCAGACATTATGTTACAGCTAAAAGCAGCGTATTTTGCCCCATTTTGATCACTATATCAACTCCGATATCCACCAAATTTTTCGGACAGTTGTGGAAGCCCTATTGGAAGGTCGTCGCCAATTTTCAGAATGATCTCATTCAAGGAACTGAAGATATATCCAAATAATACGACAAAAATCAACGAATTTGGTCAAATTTGGTCAAATTACGCGACTTTTACAGCTAATTTTGCTCCAAAAGCCGCGCACCATCAAATATGGCACCTAGGCGAAACTCACTGATCTTTCCAAAAAGGTATGACAAATTTGGTATTATGAAAATTCTCACAGTCTCTAGAAAACAATGGTACAAAAATTATTTAAATCCGAGCAAGTTTATTTTTATGGTGCACCCCCTAGGCTTAACCGTCGCTGGCGTTAGACTTGATCCTTCGGTTTCCTGTAAGTGCCGGTTTCATGTCGTAACTAATTACTAAATATATAGCCATGGTTGCCCAAAGTAAAGGGTGGTCATTTCACCTGATGGCCCTGCTGCAGCGCAGCTAAAACAGCAAATAAGTAAGTAAGTCTCATACTGTAGGACGCGCGCAGGTCGCTCTCGGTAAAATATGTCTATGCAATATTCGATTTTGAAGAGCACTAAATAGTGAACATCTTATGTACACGGTCTAACAAATAAAACACAACTGAAGTGGATCCCGCTACACTGCGGGAAAAACTTAATATCATAAATTATTTACAAACTTCTATCTATTTCTAAACTCATGTATCTCCTCAATCACAAAAATATGAAGATCGCGGTGTTTTTCGTTGTACTTATGATTTATGATGTCAATAACCTCAATAACTAACATAATTATCTGACCAAGTGATCGTAGTAGAAAAAAGTTGTAAATAATCTCAAAAACCCAAACTGAAAATCGCTGGTTTTTAAAGCAATGAGAACATCAACATTTCCAATTTCCTTGACTTAAACATTTCACGTTTATTCTAATCACTTATCATCTGCTATAGGCCGGGTCAGGACATGGATAAACCAACAATCCACAATATTAACAAGGGACACGATAAAGCACCAGAAAAACAACACCTCCTAAACATTACAAATCCTCTCTCATTCCGAATCCAGGACCCGTTGGTGGACTAGTTAAACTCGTGAGTCCGTTGATTGGTTCGCTGGCGAATCTGTCTATTCTGCTGCCTGGTTTCGGAGTTCTGCCCTCACGGAGCCCATCCAATATCTCGTGTACGTCCTCCTCTGTTGGGGAGCTGGCTTTTAAGGTGAACTTGAAAATTGAAAAATTTCAATATTAAACCGAGAATTAAAAATGAAAAGTAAAATGTAGAATATATTGCTAGCGATAACTTAGTTAATCATGATAGAGAAGTAGCTCAGACGGCTTTGTTACTGGTTACTATTGGTTACTGGTTACCTGATAAATCCTCGTAGTAGGCATCGTTAACCTGCATCATGGGGGCGTTCACACAGGCACCCAGACATTCCACCTGATATAATAACATTAGTTTTAATTAGATAATATGCTTAAAATATAATTGATTGAGTTAACTTAATAACTAATCTCATCTTGCAGCTGGTTCATTAGAATTTAGAAAAACGAAAATCTGAGAGAAGCAAAACATTGCGTGTCCAAGATGAGCTAAATCAGTGGTAACAATAAGAACTAGTGACCTTAATATTAAAATAAGAACTTAATAAATAAATAAAAAACAAAAATATTAAATAAACAACAAGACCACCTCGCAAACAGTGAAAAGTTTGTCAGCAGTGGTCTCTCCCATCCCGATACCCAGGTTCTCCTTACAAGCCCTCACTACCATGTCACTGTCACGTAGCATGCACGGGGTGGTGGTGCATATCTGCACGTGGTATTTACCTGGGGACAGTGAAATAGTGAAATAAAAAGAGAAGTCATGTTTACTGTATTGAAGGCGAAAGAGAAATCAGCCTCAATTGTTCACCAGTTAATATCAATACAATTCAATGTAGCTACAAATTTGAAATGGTATGAGAAATATGCTCCCTTTATACCACTTACACCCTCTTATCTTCAGTTGGGGGCCTTCAGTTTAATTAATTTGCTAACTTAATTTCTACAGTCAGTTAATAAGTTACTTTAATTCGGCTACCGGACAACTGAACCCAATTTGGACTTTTCCTAGACAGGGTAGCTTGGGAAATTAATTATAAACCCAATCAGACTACCTAATTAACTTTGAAACGACAACTGAACCCAATCGTCACTAGAAATCACTAACAGTTTACCAGGTTTCACCCAATTAAGCTGATTGGGTGCCTGTTAACTGCGTGGGAACTAGGTTCAATTGGGTTCAGTTGTCTGCCACCCTTTAATTCACTTACCAACAGGGTTTCTGTTAAACATGGTATAAAAAGTAGCTACTTCGTAGATCCTCATGGGGGCCATGTCTAGTACTGCTGCTACGTGGTTCATTGCTGCTAGGGGCAACCATCCTCCGTGCTGTCTTTGAGCTGAGATATTGATATGTTTACATTTAGATGCTTTTTTTTCGAAATTGCTGTTTACTTGCTTGAGGCAACCATGCTCCGTGCTGTATTTGTTCACTGATTTGTTTTGTATTAATTGGTAATGGTTATTGTTTGTATTTATTTATAGATAGAGCACACAATTCATAACCTTCCAGAGTTCCAGCTAGCATACTATCCGGTGATAAATGAGAAAAATTTATCGTATAACTTTATTAAAGGCTTAGAAATAAAGTATGCTATTTTCTATCTATATGATATAATTTATTACTCAAAGAGAAAGTAAAATACCGAGATCGAGAAGAGGGATAGCAGCAGCTTGCTGGTGTCCGTCAGGGTACTGAGCTATGATTCCCGTACATCGGTCCTTGTTCTCTTCCGTAAACTCCCACGCCATGTCCGCCTTATTCTCATCCTCTGAGGGAAGTGAGGGGGGTTAAATTAATTAATAAGTTAAATTAAATGTTTGAGTACGTGTATAAGTAAATGTTAAAGTAAATGTTAAAGTAAAATTATAATTTAATGTTCATGTAAATGTTAATTGATAAAGTAAATGTTAAAGTAAATGTTTACGTAAAATTATAATTTAATGTTTACGTAAATGTTAAAGTAAATGTATAAGTTGTATAATGTATAAGTAAATGTTTATGTAAATGTCCAAGTAAATGTTTATGTAAATGTTAAAGTAAATGATAAAGTAAATGTTAAAGTAAATGTTTATGTAAATGTATAAGTAAATGTTAAAGTAAATGATAAAGTAAATGTTAAAGAACATCTTGATGACCTGATAAGTCACCAAGAGAAAAATAACACAGAATAAACTAAATCATGCTTAACTCTCTCCATGCTTTTCTATCTGTTGCAAAAAGTCTTAAATGGTATAAATCGTCTGTATTTACAAGTCTAAAGTTTCTGTCAATAAATACACAAGTAAATAAGTAAATATAAGCAAATACCCTCAAGATGAGATAGGAGAGCGTTGTGAGGGCCAGCACCACTCTGTACCACACCAGTAGTGTGGAGACATCTTGCTGCCTGGGTTACTGTCAGCTTTGCTAGTCGCTTCAGGTGCGAGCTCAACATCTTGCTATTATAGAGAGTTGTTAAACTGGATCAGCTGGATTTGATAAGATAGCTACGTTTAATGTTGCTACGTTTAATTAATGCTGCTTTTATGAATAAATATAATATATGGAACTGCTGAATTTCAGTTTTCCTAGAGCTATTTGTTATGAGTTATCACATTTGAATTCATTTTTAAATTTTTGGTATATTTTTTCTAGAAGTTATGTTTTTCAGGAGTGGCTGATTATGATTTAAATGTAATAAATTAGTTCATTAGAGACACTACCCTTACGAGGGGCTTCAAATCAATCGAGTATCTCTGCTGTCATCTTATATTGTAGTGAGATTTATATTACTTTGTAATATTAATTATTATTAATCAATCATTACTAATGACGGAGAATACTATTGACAGAATAAGACAAAGCCTCTTGAAAATTCTAACATTATACAACTAAAAACGAGCTGAGAAGGGAACAGTATTATGTGCCGTATGAAAGAAATTGAAGAATGTATGTGAGCTATAAAAATTCGAAACGTTAAAGGTTCATCGCAATTAAACGGCTATTTCAAAGAAATAACGCAATAATAACTTAACAATAAGTTAAAACTGAAATAACTTAAAAGCTTTAAACATTAAAAACAAGGTTGAAGGAATAGCAATGATTTCCGAAAGACAAAGTAGTAAGCACCCCATCAAATTTCACTTCAACAAACAAAGTTTTGCGCTCTCAGTCAATAATGAAACAACCTAAAACTATATAAATTGATTATATTATCAAATATCAAGATTATTAACTATTTACAAAAGATAAAAATGTTCCTTTCATCTTTTCGTCTATATTAAAAATACTTTTCGGAACAGACGCTCCTCTGACGTCCCTTGTATCACGTGTTCATTCTGAAGATGCAAAGATCTTAAAGTCCCATACGTAGTTTTCTGAGTCCACTCTGCGACAATACCTGTCGCTAATCCGTCAATGGATCCGTAGTTTAACCCGTTTTGTTTGGCTAATTCATCCACTTTCGACATTTCTCTGTACCACACAAGCAAGGAATTTTCACATCTTCGGAGGGGAACTGAAATGAATTGAATGAAATTCCTCCTCCGTATCTAGAGCGGAAACTGACAAATATCAATTAATTTTCGTCAGAAAAAAAAACGCTCGAAAATATTCTGAGAACTATCTTGATTGTTTAATAAAAAATACGAGTAAGCACATCTCGGCCATCTAAATTTCAGCCTACCTCTGAGTTACAACATTTCTTAAATCCCGAAATTATCCCAGTTCTTACCTTATAATCATAAGTGAGCTCTTCTCCCCTGACAATGTTCCTTTCAGCGAAGATAATGATCTTCTTCTTGCCCTCCACGTTGATAATCCGGGAGTAACAGTTGGGGTCGCAGCAGTGGTTAATGAACCGGGCCATGGAGCCGGACATGGTGGCGTCTACTACTTCCTGACGGTCTATCCTGAACATGTAGCTCCCTATACCCTGCAAATAAACAAATAAAATACTAATTAGGGGACGTTCACATATTACGTAATCACTTTTTGAACAATTTTTACCCCCCCCCCCCCCTCTGTAATCAGTTTTATACACGGCTATTGTGTCAAAATTACACTACCGTCATCATTTGGAAACCCCACCCCCTTGGCTGATTACGTAATATGTGAACGACCCCTTGGGGGACAGCGACCATGGTGGTGATGTGTATTTTCATCATAACATTAAGCTTTGTTTTAGCTGGAATAAAAGGGGGTTGCCTCCCATTACGTTTACCTTGCTGTCATAGTACTTCTCTCTGATGTCACACAGACCAGGTCTGATCAGTGTCCCGCTGTATTCTATTATCATCTCTCCCATAGATATATCCTGTAAGTTAAGAGTTTAAGAATCGATATAAAGATTTCAATTTTAACATAATATACACACTATATAGGATATTCAAAGCTTTGTTATATATCAGAATCCGTTCAAAGCGTGTCACGACTTACTAGATCTTTCATCTAAGCGCTGACATTAATAACCCCACGGCCCAAATACCTGCATACAGTAGAGACCTCTACCGTGGATGTGACTAGGACATACACAGAGCACCTCCTTGACAGTCCTCATTATGTGGCGGTACCTCATAGCCATGGGCAGGTCCCCTAGAGAGGTCGTCCTCCTGGTTAGAGTGGGAGGTGAGATGAGAAGTACGTACCCTACCCGATATAAAGTACGTGCCCTACCCGATATAAAGTACGTGCCCTACCCGATATAGAGTACGTACCCTACCCGACATAAAATACGTGCCCTACCCGATATAAAGTACGTGCCCTATCCGATATAAAGTACGTGCCCTACCCGATATAAAGTACGTGCCCTACCCGATATAAAGTACGTGCCCTACCCAATATAAAGTACGTGCCCTACCCGATATAAAGTACGTGCCCTACCCGATATAAAGTACGTGCCCTACCCGATATAAAGTACGTACCCTACCCGATATAAAGTACGTGCCCTACCCGATATAAAGTACGTGCCCTACCCGATATTATAAAATACGTGCCCTACCCGATATAAAGTACGTGCCCTACCCGATATAAAGTACGTGCCCTACCCGATATAAAGTACGTGCCCTACCCGATATAAAGTACGTGCCCTATCCGATATAAAGTACGTGCCCTACCCGATATAGAGTACGTGCCCTACCCGATATAAAGTACTTGCCCTACCCGATATAAAGTACGTGCCCTACCCAATATAAAATACGTGCCCTACCCGATATATAAAGTACGTGCCCTACCCGATATAAAGTACGTGTCCTACCCGATATAAAGTACGTGTCCTACCCGATATAAAGTACGTATTTATGTACGCCTTTACACTGCTTTTATGTCAATCAATGTGCAGCTTCACTTTTAAAACGACAATTACCTCGACAGTTACTGTAACTTTCTCAATAACACAAAATTAACAAAACAGTCGAGCAAGAAAATCTTGCAACTATTTAATTAACGAATAACAAACCTGCTATAAAGATTAACACTGTCTCCCATAGCAACAGCTAGTTTATTGTCATCAATACTCGGCGGTTTTATGTTACGATTGGGATGGTTTAAAAAAGAGAACTGATCGATGTAAGACTTCCTGAAATGAGAATTAGGATTCATTTGTTTGTGATGCGAAAATATATATGTACAATTCAGGGGGGTTAAAATCCGCCAAAATTAATCACGTAAAATGCGAAGACGAACTAAAGACAAACTGAAGACAAACTAAAGACAAACTAAAGACAAACCGAAGACAAACTAAAGACAAACTAAAGACGAACCTGACGACAGGAAGTGTTCTAGCACAGCCTCCAGGAGGTACCGGCAGGACCCGGCTCATGTGGGAGCGCTGGGGGCCGTGTTCAGGGAAATGGAAACTATACTCCTCTAGTCGGTGGGTGTTTGGTAGTTGTTCTATTATGTGGACCACTGAGTCGTGTGCTGAGGAGAGAGTTAGGTTAGGGACAGTGAGCTTAAGGACAGTGAGATCAGGGACGGGGGAAGGGGTTGGTAATTAAATCAGGGTCCTTTTTTGTTACTTTCAATACATAGTATACATAGAAAATGTATCATCATCATGAACTGAACGAAACATCGAACTAATTTAGTTAATAATTAACAAATAAATCATTCTATTATAAATAGAATGGTATGTTCCTCATACCGAGTGTCCACATAGCGAGGCCATGTAATACAGATTGGTGTTTAGCATTTCGTATCCTCTGTAGCAGAGTGCTGATAATCGTCCACGCGTCTGTCGGATGTGAATAATAGTTTCAATATAAAGTACTCCTCACGATAGGATTATAAATATTTCCTTGTGTTCGAAAAGAGCATCAGTTAGCGCGTTATACAATATACAGAGAAACCCCCAGGGTCTCAATCTGATAATATAGCCAGTGGCACATGTCCCACTGGTTTAAGTACCCCTGCGCGACTCATCATCTGCTCATTCAAAGCTGATATCTTGTGCTTTATATACAATATATTAAAACATTTCCTTGTGTTTGAAATTGGGTATGCTTACCGTCTGCATCATCCGTTTCGACATAGATTCCGTCTTCTGTGGCGACGATGAAAACTGGGAAGGTTTTCTCGCTAGGGTCTCGCTCTTTTCGTTTGCATCTGAAGATAAGTAAATAAAGACACTAAATTAAGGTCTATTTTTGGGCTATTTTTGCTTATCTAAAACGGTTAAGTTTTAAGATCATCATCTCTCGAACGAAAACGTTTGACATCCTCAGCTAAGTGTATTTTCTTTACTGCAAAATTGTCTTCAGAACGGTAAAAGAATGGCCCTAATATGATGGCCCTACTGAGTTTAAAACCACAGCACCAGTCTCACCCGCCTAAATGGACGAGGAATATTCTAAAGCGAAATAGGATTTTTAAAACCTAGTTTAAAGTTTAAGTTTACCTGATATATGTCCTATTATTGGCCTGTCTGATCTGTAGTCTTAACTTAACCGCGCTGCTCTGAACTGACCTCTGAAATTGAAAGAAAGATAAGAAATCATAAAACTTCTAAAATAGCAACACTTTTTCTATGAAATAAAGAATGAGCGTTCCTGTTTTATCAATTGAATATTTTATCATGCAAATTGCACACTCAATAATCTACCCTCGACCGAAAACAAATCAGTGAAACTAATTTAGTGAAATTTACAATCATTACCATTCTTATGGGAGTTTTGGTTGGGCTCTGTTTGAAGGTGTGCGTTTTAGCGGGGGACTGTATGATAGTTGGTCTGTCACACTTCCTCTTGTTCTTCCGTTCTACCGGATCCTGGTCCAGGTCTTCATCCTGAAGTAGTAAAGTTTATGAGAAAGTGAGAATTTCATGAAAAAAAATGTACTGGATTCAGATATGTTTTAAACAAGTGAGCTTAATTTGGCTGTTGGCGACTCTTGAACGAGAGTTTGATTGTAAGAAGTCTAAAAGATCTACAAAACTGAAAACTGACCTTGTAAACTTTCTCGACCAAGTTTTGCGAGGCAATGATAGCTGATTTGCGTTTAGACCTGATACTAGAAGGACTCTCCTTTTTGACCACTGCTTCACCTGGCTCCACTTTTACAATGGTAACAGTAGGTGCTGGGTCAATAATCTCAGATTTGATTTTGAGGTTGTTATATTGGAAGTTTAGGAACTCGTTGAGGCAATGTTTTGAACAAATGTTTTTGTCAGGTAATCGTATGCAGTGATTTGATACACTTGATGGGGAAGAAGTGCTGGTTTGAGAATTGTCTTCTGTTTTAGGAAAAACTGTAGATCCAAGATTCGTCTTACTGAATAAACTTATCTGACTATCACTGCTGGATACGGATCTAGCGAGGGAAAACAAAGGAGGCGCCATGATGGTACTCTCGTGGCTAAAACTGGATGATGAAACGTGACTCATGTTCATGTTAGATGTCACGTGACTGATAGAAGGAGTCACGTGACTGATACTGGAGGTCACGTGGCTGATACTTGGACTGACTTGACTGACACTCGGTGATGAAACATGGCTGATTCTCGGAGCTGTAGATTCAGGATAAGTCTCACAAAGTTCCATGGAAGTGGACAGAATACTGCCGGTCTCCTGTAAGGACACTTTGCCAGGAGATGCCTGGTATCCAGCCTGAAGGATGGTGATAGTGGGTTTGTGCCCTGGTTCTGGACTTACGTTAGAGTTAAGTTCAGCTAATAAACTGTGCTGGTTGGAGTTTTGAGGAAGATGAGCGGGTAGCTGGTAGTTGTCAACTGATTTTAAACTTTCAGTGAAGGATAAAGGTTTGGAATGTTGACCTGGGAGTCTGGGTGGATCGTATGAGCTGAAGGATTCGATAATTTTCTTGTTTTGTTTATTACACTCTTGGTCGGGTATCGGAGTGGGTTTATGGGGATCATTAACTTTAGACTTCCACGCATTCACGTCAAAGAACAGGGTTTTCTTTATTTCTCGTTCTTTGATGAAATCCTTCAAGAGCTCTTTCACAGGAGAAGGTGCTTTAGGGGGAGCGTTGCTCATTGCTTTAGGTTGTAACTCTCTTAATGATCCTGACATTTTGTACTTTTTTTTGGCTTCTGAAACTTTTTTGCCAGCATTATACTCCGGAGGAAAGATTTCGTCCAAGTGGTCATCAACTGTTGACCGAGCCTGAATATCAACGGTTGACCGAACCTGAGCTGTAACATTTCTGGAATTCTCAACAGAATGGAAAACTCTAGAAGCTGTTTCGGTCACTCTAAGTTTAGGTTTCGCAGGTTGAACTGTCTCGAGGCCACTGGAAACAAAAACCTTTCCGCCTCCAACCGGACCTTTGTCAACATGCTTGACTCTCTTAGAGCGGTAAATAGTAACAGCATTTCCCACTCCTGGGAATAGTTTATCAGGGGTGGAATGTTGTGATATCTTCACCTGCTGAGACACCTTCTCTTCTACCTTACTGGTGAGACTTGCTCTGGAGAGGATGATGGGTTTTGATGGAGGTGGTTTTGGAATTGATCTCTCCATGATCTTGTTGGAAGTTAGAAGAGTCGGAGAGATAACCATTGGTCGGGGATCTTCCTTATCCTCTTCATCTTCATCCTTGATTGTTAGAGATTCCGGTACTTTCGCTCGTTCCATTTTCTTAAGAGCAGCGTCAAATTCACCGAGGAGGAAATCTCTTGAAGTTTGCTTGGGAATTGGCTCGATATCACCAGGAGCTTCACGAGGGTACTTATGGTCCGGCTGAGAAGCACGGTTACCAGGGTTACCAGGGTTACCAGGTTGAGCAGCAAAGAGTCTGTACTGCTCTGGTGGTCCGGTCAGTATCGGTCCAGTAATATGTATAGCACCTTCCCCTGACTTGGAGTTGTAAGGAAACCCTGTCTGCTCGGAGACAGTGTGAGGAGTCTCGCTTTCTTGGCCACGTTGTTCAAGTTTATGCGCTCGTTGGTCTTGTTCTCTTTCGGTGAGCCAGGAATTTACATCTATCTTCTCATATTTCTTGTTTTTCAATGCCTGAAATGATTCAGTATTTTTTAAACAGTTGTATGGTATTCTTCATTAAATAACGTAATATGTACACTGTACAGCATTTTTGATTCAAAATCACGAAATTGTCTGCTTTCAGTTTTCATGGCCCAATTTAGTTCACTTTGACTACACGGGACGTTATCAAGTAAAGGGATTCTTTTTACCTCTACTACAACCCAGGATGGTTTGGTAGAACTGGACAACTTGAGAGAGACGCTGGAGGAACTGGAGGTCCTGCTACTCTCATCTTCTGACTTCTTCTTGTACTTCTTCTCGCGCTGCTGGGGAGATGTTATCAGTTAAAATATCATGTCGATAATGATATCTAAGGGAATTAGTGAATTGTGGGAGAAATCTCAAATGATGGAGTAGTTCGCTGTTTATGAGTCTCATATTTGAAATACTGATAGTTGGATAATATCCGTTTGAAAGAGACAAGAACAAATAAAACAAGAAGTTAGGAATGTATGCAAATTTTCGGCGTCAACGCCATCTTCAGGCTAAAATTGGTACAAATGATAGTATACAATTATAAATGGTTCTAGATACTAGTTAAAATGCTAAATTAAAATTACACACACTGAATACAGGTTACATCGAATGGTATTCTATATTACATAAAATTGTGATGTATTTTACACTGTACTCTGTCCAAGCACATATATCTACCGAACATAAGGGTCGAGTGCTAATTGTTTAAATTTATCTCTGAATATGTTGTAAAAGAAATCCCTTAAGCTTCTCGCACTCTTCTTCATTATTGATACTAGGTTTAAATAAATTAATGTAGTACGCTTCTATCACTTTTCGTTTAACGGTGCTATACAAGTTAATTTCTAAAATATTGAAATAAATGTCTGCATCTAAGTTATTGTGAAATTCAAAATAATGAGCAGCCAACGCATTGTCAGGACTAGCAGGAACCCGTATAACCCTAAAATGGTGTCAAGACTCATGAGACTAAAATAATTATTACCTATTTAATTCGCGGTTTTGACACCACTTGGGGGTCCATAATCCATATTTTGGTATCTAAATCTCCTATTTCTAGGTCCATTTTTTATTTTTTCATGCTGATTTGGAGGCCATTAAAGCATTTGACCCAGTCAAAAAAGTTTCAGTTGTATATCGTTTACGGTTTTTGCGGAAAGTCGCGTTAAAGTTGATGCTGTGGTGTCAGTAAAATGGTACGGAACCCCCATATATATCGTCTCGCTTCATATATAGTAAGATAGGTTAAAGGCCTGTTGACTGCTCTTCGATGCTCTGAAAATCTATCGTGTGGGAGAAATCATAACAAGAACTTTATGATTATTGTTAACTTTAACTTTCTACCGACTTATAGCACAATTTGAAATGGTGAAAATATTTCCGACATCAGTGAAAATTAATAATTATATAGATGTTACAGGGAAAACAAAGTTTGAACACACTAAAGTATGTAATAATAATTATATTAATTCAAGCTGTTAAATCTAGTATACATAATATTTTTAATAATGATAAAATAATGAAGTTTAACCATGGGAACCATGAACTATCCACAAATAACATTGAAAACTTATCGTATTAAAAATGTCCATTGAATATACCGCTGTTTAAGCTCTGGATATAAAGGATAGATATTCTTCCCATCACCGAACAACAGATGAATATGTCCGTTTTCGAAGTCCGCTACAGTGGATTTGTGAACATGCAAGTCTGCAGGATACATACTATTGTCAGTACAAAGTTCAATATTCTGGGTTATATTGACAATCGACTCCTCGGCGATTTTTGGATTTATCTTTAGCATTAAGCCACATTTCCCCTTCTTTTTGCAATCTTTAACTCCATGTACAAATGATACACTAAGCTCTCTAGGAATTCTACCACGTAGGCATGAGAAATTGACACCGTTTGACAAGAAAGAACAACCTAAATCATTAGCCTTGCCAATCATTCCAAGATCGTAAAATAAATCACTAAGTAACCTTTTGAGATGCCCTTCACGTTGATAAAAGTTTGTTACGCCGAGGGAAGCAACATACTTAATCTTCCATCTTCTTTTTCCTATTTCAGCTATGAAACGATCTTTTAACCACTGGGAAACCGGTGGATGTTTTGATTGATTCAAATCCACATACCTCCAGACTGCCTCAGCAAAAATGAATACGTTTGTAACTTCTTCGTCTGCTACGACTTTTAAAATGAAATCTTCAAATTTAATTGTAAAATCGATCCTGTTAATGATATTGGGAACTTTCATTTTTATGAAAGCTGGATATTTTTTTGCCACTGGTTTTAGTTGAAGCTCACCTGACTGGGTGGGATCTTTAGGAACCTCTTCAATAGACTTTCTGTGCAGAGCAAGAACCCACCTGAGATCATCAACAGAGCATCCTTCTAGAACATCAAATAGTTCGTCAAAAGCTGCCTTATGATAAGTCCGGCAAATCCTCAAATCTGAAGTATCCAAGAAATGCCGGAAAATGTCCGACATAACCGCACCCTGCTCAGCTAGATGAGTTTTCAGCTTCCCAGTCAGTGACTGAACCACAATACCAAGATCTCTCCTAGCCAGCTCCACAACAAGGTCCAACTGTCTAGTGGAAACGTCCGTTATATCTTCCAGAAACTTACGGAGGAAAAGAGTCTTACACCCGGTATTAGATCCTATCTTTGCAAGGGTAAGGTTTATCATGCCACGTTCTTTGAGAATTATGCAGACATAGCTTGCCTCCTGGAACAGATACAACATATCTTCATAGCTGCCGGTCATTCCATCAACCAGATTCTTGAAGTACCCCGAACACCTCCCTGTCAACCAGGCCACATCAAACACTTTCGCCATCTTATTAACCTCTCTAAAAGTCCCCTTATCCATCTTCTCGATATCTCCCGTGTAGAGACAATCCACAAAACATTCCACAGAACCCTCCTGGAAGTCAGCCATATCCAGGCTGGTAATCTCCAGGGTAGCTACAAGACGTTCTATCACAGGACTGTTAAAGGAGAGTATGAGAGAGTTAGCACGTGACTTTCTGTTGTTGTTGAGGTTGAGGGTGAGGTTGTTGTGGGTGGGGGAGGAGAGGTGGTGACGACCAAAGTTCATGGGGACCTGGACATTCAGGGCCATGACTATTACTGGGTGGTACATGAGGTTAGTAATAAACTAATGGTTGTGTTTATTGTTCTGCTAGCATTCCACACGATACCAGTAAAAACAGTAGGTTTTGGAGAAACCAAAATTCCTTAAATTCCTAACATGACTCACCTTTAAAACGTTGTAGTGATCGGAGGAACACTTCCACTTATCCTCGTGTTCCGCTGCTTCTGAATCAAACTCAAACACATCAAACTCGTTGCGTGGTTTCTTGCGGACAGGACTGCTGGTGAAAGGTCTGGCTATGGCTGTCTGGAGAGAATGGATACTCGCATTAGAAAATGTTGTTCTTCTAATTGTGGATTCTACACCTCGTTCCAAAGGAGACAAAAAGTGTGCTAACATTTTTTAAACTAAACAAATTAAAGCTAACTAATCATTAAAAATTGAATAAATATCATAAAATGACTGATTTAATGATCACTCAAATGAATGATAATTTACTATAAGTTAATGAAACTCACTTCTTTAGCAGCAGGAGAGGTACCCCGACTACCAACACACATGACCTTACCACTACTGTTCTTTAAAGAATGTCCAGCAGGAGGGTGGGTTGAGGTGGCCATGTTCTTGATAACAATGCTGCTCGTTTGCATTGTACCTGGGGGTGAAACGGGTCAGTTTTGTAGATTCTAGGAGAACGAAATCTACCTTTTTGAAGGGGTTAATTAATCCTATGGACATTATCACTTATATGATACCCCAGATTGGTGCATTTTAAAGTGAATCAAAGGACCGACAATTAAATGAGACACTTCAAATGGTGTAAAATTAAGTGCTATAAAATTGGAAATGTCCCTACCTTCTGCTTCAGATGTGTCCTCTAGTCCGTGTCGTTTAGGCTCATTTACCGTAGTAGTCACCGGTCTATCTGTTGTAACCCTTTTATCGTTATCTAACGAGGAAACAATATGATGAGATATTTAATCAGGATGAGGTGGTGCAATAACCCAAATATTTGATATTGGATTCGTGGGTACTTGGTATCATATCGAAAGTATTATATCGAAAGTAATTTACTGGATTCACGTAGATATCGTTACACAGCTGAGGATATACCTGTATACAGATAACAAACATGCGTGTACAGTTAACAACGCACATGAACAACGCACATGAACAACGAGCAAGCTCACCATTGGTTAGACGGTCACATGTCACCAATTTGGGTCTATTTATCAGACTCTCCCAATATTGATAGTCAGGATTTCGTAGAATGTCCCCTATTGGAACGGCAACAATGTCGGATTTTTCAGGAATTTTCATGCCAGAAAGAATACTAGGAAAAGGAGGTAGCCTTGGTAATAAGGACACAGATGGTGCATGAATTCTTGTTGATGATGTTTTGTGGGTAGGTGATGACGTCACGTGATTTGAAGATGGCGTCACGTGATTTGAAGATGAACTCATTTGGTTTCCCGATGACGTTATTTGGCTTGACACTGACGTCACAGAACGTTTTTCTGATTTATTAAAGGAGGCAGTAAGACCGACTAAAACTTTCTCAGATTGTGTCAGCGGTTCAACTGATAGTGAGTGCTCTCCACCCTGCCCCTCATGAGAGGGAACATTAGTTGTGATCTCAGGGTGGACGTGTGTAGTGGATCTAGAAGAGATATCAGATATCCGGGTGGGGTCTTCTTGGTGTGGTGATTTTGGGTCTGTGAAGTTATGCTCTGAAATTGTGCTATGTTAATGCGAGAGGATGGTAATACAGGGAAGATGTGGAATGTTGGAAGACAGTTCTGAGTCATAAAAATGCTGGTACAATAATGGGCAAATATTTGAAGAACAGGAAGCAGGTAACTTACCATCTCGTTTAGCTATGTTTTCAAGAGCTGCACTAGCTGGAACCATCTGCTTAGCAGGAGAGATTATCATCCCGGAATGTGGTCCGGAATGTGGTCCGGAATGTTGTCCGGAATGTTGTCCGGAATGAGAGGTATGTGGTCTGGTGAGTGTTTCTCCGGAGACAGTCCGGTTAGTAGGGAACTTAGGAAAGTCGGACACGTAGGGCAGAACTAGCCTGGGAGACTCCTGAAGAAAGAGGGTTTGGTTCATTTTGCATATTTTAATTAGGTACTCACTTTTAATAATATTACAGATTAAAACTAGCCTCCAACCCTCCATTGTACAGCTAAAGGAACTCGGAAGATTTGGACAATCGAAATGAAAAGTCAGCGTGGACTTACGCTTGGAAATATGGGTTTCTCCTTGGGACTTATACTCTTCTTTTGACTTCCCAGCACTCTAAAGTGTTTGGAATTCCCACTGAATACCCTCACATTACTCCCCGGTAGCACACTAGAACCACTCTGAGACTGTCCTCCATACTGAGCCGCATGTTGTCCGGCATGTTGTCCGGCATGTTGTCCGGCATGTTCATGTTGGGGCTGGCCGGTGTACTGCAGGATCGGGACAGGTTGTCCGTCTGTACTCTTGTACTTGCTGGGACTAATCTGTTTGGTGGTGGGTAGCTGGGTGATAACTCGGTGGAATGAGACACTCCCTGGTTTCTTGTTGTACTCCTGTGGAGTTCAACTGAGTTTATTGTTGGTTCATTATAACGGCAATAGCTGAATTAGCTGGTTTGATAAGTATCCTACGGACTGATCCATCTCTAGATGTGTCGGTGAGGGTACTGTAGTCGAGAAAATGATTATATCCGTTGAAATAAGTATAAAGTATGCAAATATTCTCCGTTATTTCCCTCACAATTTAAAGCTCACAATCTTAAGATTCCTTTAAATTAACTTACGGCAGATTTTTGGTCAACAGATGAAACATGGTAAGCTTTTATCTGTTGCATCACTCGACTCTTAAACTGATTATTATTGTACAGGGAGGCACTCTGAAAGCAGTCGGTTTCATTTAATCATGTAAATTTAAATTACAATTATTTATAATCTTTCTAATTACAGTAATTATGTAAAATTAATTGTGTTAATTTTATTTTGTTAAAGTATCGTCTCGCATTAAGGAAAGTTACCTGTTGGCTGTGTTTAATGTCATGTCTGTGAGGTTTCCTGTGTAGGAATGCAGCAGATCCGGGCACCTTTTTCTGGAAAGTAAAGTGGATTAAAAATTAATCGATTAATTGATAAATTCATGAATTAATAAATCTATATTATATATAAGGGGAAGACCACATCTCACATATATTGACATTCTTCGGAAGGACACGGGGCTTGACGACAGCAAGGAGATTAACAAACTCATGCTGGATAGACAGATTTTGAAGAAAACTATCTCTGTTCGGACGTTGAAGTCAAGTCAGTCGTAAGTCGTATTATATAATATATGGTCGATTGGTTAGAAACATTTCCCTACTGTAAACATTTCTTAAGTACCTTTTTGTTGTATTTGTAGAGAACAGACTTCACTTTCTTTCCTCTTGTGGGCATTTCAGCATCAAACTCGTGGTCTGGAGATCGTTTAGGTGCTACCGGAGGTGCCATTTTGATGCACCTCTTTCCTGCAGCATCCTCAAACATAAACACCACCTGAACAGTGAAAGTAACAGAGTGAAAGTGAAAGTAACAGAGTGAAAGTGAAAGTAACAGAGTGAAAGTGAAAGTTACAGATGCAGATTGAAAGCGAAAGTTACACGGTTGTCTTAACTAATGATCCAACATTTTAAGACATAATCGTAAACTAAAACGTAGAAATGTATAGTAGACTGAAGACAATATGCACATGTAAGGAATAGCAGCGCGATCGCATATCATTTTCTTTATAATCAAGTTTACTAGTATGAAAGTAGTTAATATCATAATTTTTGGGAAATAGCAAATAATGAGTTATCATACTTTCGGATCGATGTAAGGTATTCCACAACATCGGAGGGAGTCGTCACCGCCCACTCTTTGTAGGAGTGATTTTATACCTTCATTAGCTGAAATTATTACATTAGTCAGCCAAAAGTAACACGTGAAACTTTACAAAAAAAACTGTTTTTGCTCACCAGGAATGAACATAAAATTACAACATTATAAATCTTGGCGGCTATTACCTGATATACAGTCAATGTAATACCCTGGTCTCACTTTTATCGCTTCAATATGCTCCTCGTACTCGTGGACTACAGGCGTCTCCCTGTAATAATTTATAGTTTATAATCGTTTAAAAGTTAATTTGATCAAGATGATTTTAGATCACAAGTCAGAATCTTCAAAATAATTAAACAACATCTACAGAGTAACGATTATCTACCCCCCCCCCCCCCCCCCGGCCCCCAACACAACAGAATACTAACATGTGTTTGTGAGCTACACAGTACATGTGATCCAGCCGAGCATATCTCCTCACTTTCAACATGGTCTCCTGCTGCAGTCGCAGTTTCTGTAGCTCCAGCGCAGCTTGGCGCGCACGCTGAAGCTCAGTGTTGCGTTGTTCTTGACGCGCAGCGATGTTTTGTTCCGCTCGTACCTGTCAGGTTGTTGTGAGTATATATTAAACATTACTGATTGATACGCTTTTTCTTTTTAAAGTTGGTCTATTGAAGAACCTCAAAAACAAATATTTTAAATACGGCCCAGGGTGAGTAACTGTTAGTTATCTTAATCTAGCAGTTATAATCCTAATATTTTACAGTCTGTGCTCACACGGCACATGGTTCTTTATCCTGGGTACGTTTAGCTCTATAACAGGTCGGGTCATTATTATACACTATCTGCGTATTACCTAGACCTTGAAACCTGTAACATTCCATTCAAAACTACATATCATTGTACGTATTGGAACCAGTATTTCCGTCCGAGAAAGCTTTGACGGAATGGAAATTTTGAAAATGTCCTACCGGTAGGACATTTTCAGATTTCAGCTTTCTGCGACCCCCCCCCCCCCCCCCCCCCCCCCCCAAATTTAAGTCAAGTCAGTCGTAAGTCGTATTATATAATATATGGTCGATTGGTTAGAAACATTTCCCTAGTACTGTAAACATTTCTAAAGTACCTTTTTGTTGTATTTGTAGAGAACAGACTTCACTTTCCCTCCCCCCCCCCCCCCCCCAAATTTCACTGTTTTGACTGAATTTTTCTTGAATGATCATTTAGCAAGGTCACTGAAGATGGCACAAGACACGATTGAGCCTTGAGGTAATGAAAGTTCTATTCCCAAAGAAAGCCTCGATTAACGGAAAATCATCAGAATAGAATTTGAAGAGATTTTAGAAGAGAAGCTTTTCTGCCGTCTCCTTGACCGAAATTTCGCGGTTTTGGCTGAATAGTTTATTAATATATTATACCGGGTTTCATTGATTCACCACGGTAAACTAATGATTATGAGGAACCCATAGTGTTACAATTAATCACAGTAACTCCACCTCCACTCTAAACAGTCTCAATAACCGTAAGTAAATGAAGGTGATGTTTCATACTGTTAGTTGCTACCCCCCCCCCCCCCTGCTGCCTCATGCACCACTGTGTAGAGATTATTAGAGACAGTATGTCACCCTGTAAACAGTTGTATACTGTCAAGAACCTATGTTTTATAACTATCATTCTGTTCGTTCATAAGTTGGTGTTGGTAGTTTAAGCTGACTCAGTACAGAAGGTTGGAGTTGAAATCAGCCACTGTACAGGGTCCCTTCTAGTTGAAATCAGCCACTGTACAGGGTCCCTTCTAGTTGAAATCAGCCACTGTACAGGGTCCCTTCTAGGCCGAATGTTTGTTTTAAGGTTAATACTTGTTGTGTGGTTCCTGAAGAGTGCCAGACTCCAGGAATACGATCTCACAAAGAAGAGAGTTTTCAAGATACGAGATCTGTTAGATAAGATGGTTGTAGTGTTTGGTGAGACGGTAGAGAGAGCTTGTGACCCACTCTTAGGGATACAGGTATTATAGTCAGCATGTGTCTATGTGTCTCTGTGTCTCTGTGTTTATGTGTCTATGTATCTATGTGTTTCTGTGTATCTGTGTCTCTATGTCTCTATGTCTCTATGTCTCTATGTCTCTGTGTGTATGTGTCTCTGTGTCTCTATGTCTCTGTGTTTCTGTGTCTTTGTGTTTCTGTATTTCTGTGTCTCTGTGTCTCTGTTCATTTTGATAAGGGCGAGATTTTTCACTCCAAGTGCTATACTCCTGCACTATTTTTATAAGATAACTGTTATGTATGTTGAATCGCTAAAACTAAAAGAACAACAAAATCTGCATACATGAATTTTGTGATTGCAGGGATATCTAGAGATACGAGATGGAAGTGAGTATAACCCACTCCTCCCACTCTCCTCATCTTTACCCTTCTCTTCAGAGGAGACAATACCTCTTTTACTGATCAACATCAGGAAATACCAGGTTTTTTGACACTTCCAGGGTATTTTTAAATTTTACACTAAATGTTACATTAAAACCATATAAACATAGTTGCACTAGAGGGTTAGATGTGACTTCATTAAGATCTTGATTCTTGATGAGTTGACAGTCCGACTTAGTTTCAGCTGAATCCCCATCAAGTGGACCACACTACATGGCACGCTCTGGGAGAAGTAACCGAGTCCATGCCATTCCAGATAACCATGGAGATAACAGGGGAGGAGATATGTGTCAACATCTCAGGAATGGTAGAATGTGAGGAGGTGGATTTGGCACGAAGCCAGGGAGAGGTGGAACTGGTGTTCTGCTCGTCTGAGTGCAGTATTTGGAGAGTGATGACGGTGACAGCTAGGCCAAGTCTCAGGGTTAGAAGTAAGTTTTGTGGTCCCATTTTAGTCTTATTCATAGTGGGCAACTAGATTAACTTTGTATGTCATTGAAATCATGTGGGAAATGATTTCAACTTGTTTTTGTGTCAGCCATCTATTTGATATAATATTATTCAGTGAATTCCTCTATCATAATATTAATGGAAGTTCAGCTAGAAACAACCGGGATCTAGCGATTATTATAATAATTATGAATATCTAAACTAAAATGAAAAGAGATAATTTTTCTTATAACATTGCTCCTCTAGTACCAGGGACAAAAGGATTTCGCGATTATTTTGGCCAAAAATCGCGATACCGCTATTTTTAACAGACTATACATTAAACTATACATAACATTTGTCGCAAAGAATGGGAAAAATCGCGATTCCGTACATGCCGCGATTTCCTTTTGTCCCTGTCTAGTACTGGTTTATATCCTAAATGAGAAGGAAAAGGTGAGACTGTAGAGTGTAGACGAACCTTGCGAGCTATGATGCTATTTGCATCTGCTTTCTTGTGTACCCTCTTTATCCTGTGCCTCTCATCTTCATTCTTAGCTTCAGGTCGGTCTAAACGCATCCCCTGAAAAATGTGTTTTAATTTACAGTTATTTATTTAAATCACACTGAGCCAACACCGATCAAACAATCAACAACAGGGACAAAAGGATTTCCCGATTATTTTGGCAAAATTTCGCGATACCGCGAATTTTAACAGGCTATGCATTAAACTATACATAAAATTTGTCGCAAATAATGGGAAAAATCGCGATTCCGTACATGCCGCGATTTCCTTTTGTCCCTGAATTCAACAACCAAATGCCTGGTTTTATCGGTACTTGTGTATTGATCTCAGTAATGAATTGTTTATTTGGGAAATATTACTTTAAATTCCTGAAGCATACCTGATTGTCTCGAGGCTTCCTGTTTTTGCTCTTCTTAACCTTCACCCCATCCAGATGTATAACCGGTTCATCACGTGGTTGGCGGATCTGAGCCCTGACTTTCACTGGTGTTTTCACTGGTTTCACTTTGTTGGGCGTAGCTATCCTTGACTGGGGGGAATTGATTTAAAATTGCAATTTGACATGAATTACATTGATAATTAATTAACTTATGTAAGTTATTTTAAGTTATATGACGAATAAATGCGTTACAGACATATCGTTACAGATATTTGCATGTTAATTCATCATGGTACTTCCTGAAAAATAAATTTGATCTTTAATGCAACTGAATCACTAACCTTCTCTCCCGCAAAAGAGTCGCTGTTAAAAGAGTTGAGCTTAGGTTTCTGGATAGTTAAAGTTAGCTCGAACACTACCTCTCCCCCTGGCTTAAACGTGCCTGCAGATAATATATAAGTGAACGGTTGAGCGGGACTTAAATACAGATTGCAGGTTGATAAAATGCAACAAAAATTAGAAAAATCTTCGCCAAAACTGTGGGTGTAATAGCCTAGGTCTAAAATTTTGAATCACACATTTTCCTGCTATTTTATTCTTTGATAACATATTAAATATCGGTTATATGATTAAAACTAACATACCCGAGCTCCGTTCCACCCAGTCTGTAAAAGGCATGTCCAGAGAGAGAAGCTCGTCCGACAAGTCGGTGAAAAACACGTCAGGATTCTCTGGAATCTGCTTCACGACCGTACACCTTAAAACGTGGGTATAGATAAATATATGAAATTTCGCTGTTAACATTTAACTGTGATTATCAGACACTACTTAGTGTTTCCGAAAAATAAAACTTGAATTTAAATACTAGATGAATTGTTTTTCAAGTGTTTTCTTTCAGTTAACAGCAGGTAATCACTCCAGGGTCTAATATCAGTCACAAGCTACGTACATTGTACAAGATAATATCCACCTGCATCTACCTACAAGATAATATCTACCTGTATCTACCTACAAGATAATATCTACCTGTATCTACCTACAAGATAATATCCACCTGCATCTACCTACAAGATAACATTTACCTGTATCTGCGGCTCTAGACCAGTACAGGTCGAAAAATATAACCGGGACATCTGTCTCGTTAGGACTGCATGCGGTTCATCGGGTGCGAAGGGCCAGCATCCCTTCCACCTCAAATAACAACGCTACTGAAACAACACACACATCAAATGGACGGAGTGCTACTTCCAATTCAAGGACGGATGGTTCCAGCATGACGGAGGCTGAGCAAAGCCTACGGGACCCCAGTCGCCTGATGAGAAGAGGGGGTACTCGTCATCCGACCAGATTTATTAGTCAACAGATCATCCATGTTGACCCTGCTTCCAACAAATCCAATCCAGTAAATTATTGCAAACAGTTTTTACGTTTTGGAACATGGAACGTTCTATCTCTTGTCAGCTCATCTACACAGCTCTACCAACTTAGTCAAAACATTGATCAGTACAGATTGGATCTTTTGGGGATCACCGAGACTCACATGCCTGGATCTGGCACCACTCTACTGGACAATGGCAGTCTACTCATCCATTCCGGTAGAGTCGACGGGATCAAGAGACAGGGAGTCGGTCTCAGTCTTTCAAAACGAATCAGAAACTCCCTGATATCGTTCACTCCCACATCGGAGCGGGTTTTAACTGCTAGGCTGCATAGTAAGCAAATCAACATCTCTGTTGTTGTGGCCTATGCTCCAACTGAGGGTGCAGAGGAGAGTGAGAAAGATAAGTTTTATAGGACACTCACAGATACATTTGATGGGCTACCTCGTCACGATATCAAGTTACTGCTCGGCGATTTTAATGCAAAAGTAACATCAGGCAGATATGGAAGTGAAGCGGTCATCGGTGGGGAATCACTCCATAGCTCATCAAATGACAACGGGACAAGACTTGTGGATTTCTGTGCGACGAACCAGCTTGTCATCGGGGGAACTCTCTTCGAGCACAAGAACATTCACAAGGGAACATGGCGGTCGCCCAACGGGCTCACCGTCAATCAGATAGATCATATCTGCATTGGAAAGCGGTTTCGTCAGTCACTTTTTGATGTTAGGGTATGTCGCGGGGCAGACATCGGCTCCGATCATTATCTGGTTCTAGGACTGCTGAAAATCAAACTTCAGTCAGTGACAAAGATCAACGCCAACAGGCCCAATGTGCCTGCCATTGAGCGCCTGAGGGATAGTACTACGGTTACAGAGTACAATGTGGCTCTTCAAAACCGATTTGCAAGTCTGGATAGTGAGGTCGACCTCGAGGATATGTGGCGTAATCTCAGTCAGACCGTCACTGATGTCTCACTGGAGGTACTAGGCAAAAGACCCCGGAAGGCAAAGGAGCAACACCTGTCACGGAAGACCAAGGATTTATTGATTCAGCGGGCACAGTTTAAGCGCAAAGACCCAAACTCAGACGCTAACAGGTCAGAGTATTCTAAACTTAATAAGTTAGTCAAGAAAAGCAGCAAGCTAGACGACAATAACTGGGCAGTTAGAGTAGCTACTGATCTTGAGGGAGCAGCGAGCAAAGGTCAGCAGCGTGAGGTATGGGCAAAGATCAAGAAGATCTCTGGTAAGAACAAGAAGCCTCAAGCATCTTGTGTCCGGGACAAGGACGGTAGGAAGATCACGGATCCCCAACAGCAGAGGGACAGGTGGAAGGAGCACTTTACTGAACTTCTGAACCCTCCATTATCAAGTGTCGACCTTGCCGACCTTGATACAGTACCACCCCAACCCCACTTTAACTCTCTCTCTTGTTCGGATGGACCACCCACCAGAGACGAGATTAGTTATTCCCTGACAAAGCTTAAGAACAACAAAAGCCCAGGAGTGGACGGGATAACTAACGAGCAACTGAAGTATGGTGCGAGTGCTCTAGTTGATCAACTAGAGTGTCTATGCAAGAAAGTGTGGGAAGAAGAGACTGTTCCTGAAGATTGGTTAAAGGGTGTGATCATTGTCATTGGGAAGAAAGGAGACACTTCAGTCTGCGGGAACAACAGAGGGATCACCTTAAGGTCTACAGCATCCAAGCTTTTTCAGATGATTCTTCTTAAGCGGTTACATGCTGGTATGGAGTGTCTCCTCAGGGAGAATCAGTGCGGATTTAGACAGAACCGCTCATGTATTGATCAGATTTATTCTCTCCGAACTATTATTCATAACTGTCTTGAGTTTAACATTCCTCTTTACATTAATTTTGTGGATTTCAAGGCAGCGTTCGATTCTATCAGAAGGGACTTTATTTGGTGCAGTATGAGACACTATGGGCTGCCTGAAAAATATGTCAGAATATTTCAGTCATTTTTTGGGGGTACCATGAGTGCCGTGAGGGTTAATGGGGAGCTGACAGAATGGTTTGATGTTAACTCAGGCACAGGTCAGGGTGACATTCAAGCACCTCCTGTCTTTAATTTCTGCCTAAACTTTTCTGCATTTCTGGCTGAGACCAACAAGATCATCAGTCAAGGCGCAGTGCTGCAGAAAGAGATGAAGACGGTCGAGGAAAAGGTCATTCTGGACACCGATTATGCTGATGACATGGCTATTATGGACAACTCAGGGGAAGGCCTACAGGAATCAACTGATCTATTAGTTCATTACAGCTCCTACGCTGGGCTCAGAATAAATGCAAAGAAGACCCAATGCATGGCTGTAAGCAAGTGCGCCTCCCAGCGACCTTTCATCAAGGATGATTGTATTGAGCTGTCGGTTGAGGGTGAACCCGTCGAGCAGGTTAGCAACTTTGTCTACCTGGGTGCAACTATCAGTGGGGATGGGACAATCAACAGAGACCTGGATGTCCGTATCCAGAAGGCTAATGGCGCCTTTCATCAGCTCTGGAACATTTGGAATAGCAGAACTATAAAGACTCCAACCAAGATCAGGATCTATAGGGCTGCTGTCCTCACCATCTTGTTGTATGGAGCTGAAGTCTGGAACACCACCAAAAAGCAGATGAAACGCTTCGAGGTTTTCCATCAAACCTCCTTGAGAAGGATCCTTAGGATTAAATGGTTCTTTCATGTGACCAACGACGAAGTTCTTAGGAGGGCTGGCATCAAGTCAGTTGAGACTTTCATCAGTGCTGCCAGGCTACGTTGGTATGGACATGTAGTTAGAATTCCAGACTCTAGACTACCGAGGTTTCTGTTGAACTGGAAGCCAAATTATGGAAAGAGGTCAAGGGGCAGACCCCGTAAGAACTGGAAGTCCTGCGTACTCGAAGATGCTGCTAAGTTTACAGGTGTTGAAAACATCGACAACGACACAACAGAAGCTTTGGCTATCAACCGAGTACAGTGGAGACATATGTTACGCCGCCAACGCGATGTGTGTGATGCAGGCCACTCCAACGACTAGGAGGAGACCTTACCATGTAACATGTGTATGTATGTATGTATCTACCTACAAGATAATATCTACCTGTATCTACCTACAAGATAATATCTACCTGTATCTACCTACAAGATAATATCTACCAGTATCTACCTACAAGATAATATCTACCTGTATCTACCTACAAGATAATATCTACATGTATATACCTACAAGATAATATCTACATGTATCTACCTACAAGATAATATCTACCTGTATCTACCTACAAGATAATATCTACCTGTATCTACCTACAAGATAATATCTACCTGTATATACCTACAAGATAATATCTACCTGTATCTACCTACAAGATAATATCTACCTGCATATACCTACAAGATAATATCTACCTGTATCTACCTACAAGATAATATCTACCTGTATCTACCTACAAGATAATATCTACCTGTATATACCTACAAGATAATATCTACCTGTATCTACCTACAAGATAATATCTACCTGTATCTGCCTACAAGATAATATCTACCTGTATCTACCTACAAGATAATATCTACCTGTATCTACCTACAAGATAATATCTACCTGTATCTACCTACAAGATAATATCTACCTGTATCTACCTACAAGATAATATCTACCTGTATCTACCTACAAGATAATATCTACCTGTATCTACCTACAAGATAATATCTACCTGTATCTACCTACAAGATAATATCTACCTGTATCTACCTACAAGATAATATCTACATGTATTTACCTACATGATAATATCTACCTGTATCTACCTACAAGATAATATCTACCTGTATCTACCTACAAGATAATATCTACCTACAAGATAATATCCACCTGCATCTACCTACAAGATAATATCTACATGTATCTACCTACAAGATAATATCCACCTGTATCTACCTACAAGATAATATCTACCTGTATCTACCTACAATATAATATCTACCTGTATCTACCTACAAGATAATATCTACCTGTATCTACCAACAAGATAATATCTACCTGTATCTACCTACAAGATAATATCTACCTGTATCTACCTACAAGATAATATCTACCTGTATCTACCTACAAGATAATATCTACCTGTATCTACCTACAAGATAATATCTACATGTATCTACCTACAAGATAATATCTACCTGTATCTACCTACAAGATAATATCTACCTGTATCTACCTACAAGATAATATCTACCTGCATCTACCTACAAGATAATATCTACCTGCATCTACCTACAAGATAATATCTACCTGCATCTACCTGTATCTACCTACAAGATAATATCTACCTGTATCTACCTACAAGATAATATCTACCTGTATCTACCTACAAGATAATATCTACCTGTATCTGCAGCGATAGGAGGGGTCTCTAAAGCTCCAGAATAATCTCTCCAGTGAGTATCCGATAGGAACTAATGTGTCAGGGTCGTCTGATATGTTCATTATGTCCCCTGAGATTATTACGTTAGCTTTAAAAATCGGTTAGATAATATCTATAATTTTACCTGTATAAGAAACGCTATAAAAATGGGCGTGGCCCATGACGACATTATCCGAAACACTAGAGTCAAAAAATTTTTTTGGTTGTTCCTGACCCTATAGAGCAACTAATAAGATAGGGTCTCTAATTATTTGAACAACTTTTGGTAAAATGAACCGGTCTATTAGATATGCTCATAATGTTTATAATGTCCCCTGAGATTATTACGTTAGCTTTAAAAATCGGCTAGATATGCTCATAATGTTTATAGTGTCCCCTGAGATTATTACGTTAGCTTTAAAAATCGGCTAGATATATGCTCATAATGTTTATAATGTCCCCTGAGATTATTACGTTAGCTTTAAAAATCGGCTAGATCACAGTGCTGGCAAGCACGACCGTTGCATTTATTGTGGGTATACTATGTTCCCCATTTACTATTATACCCCCTTTACTATTATACCCCCTTCACTATTATACCCCTTTTACTATTATACCCCCTTTACTATTATACCCCCTTTGGTACACGTTACAAGCCTCTTTTGTGCACGCGAAGCGTGCACTCCGGCCGGAGGCGGCGGCCGAAGGCCGCCGCCTCCGGCAGGAGTTTTCCAGGCATTAAGACTCATCGGAAGTCGTTCAGCAGATTTATTTTTAGTTCAAAACATTCTAATTTGATGTCAAAGATGACAGGAATAAAAAATAGTTATGTTGAGATTTTTAAGAAATTTGCATAAAATACTCGCCAGCACTGTTATACGAAATTCGGTAAAAAACCCAAAATCGCCATATTCAGGTGCCTTAAAAACCATGTTAAAATTGAGTTAGAGATCTGAAACTTTGCAGGGCGTCTAGACGTTGACCAAATCGACTGCAAAAAAAGTTTCAGGTTTCAGGAGCATCGGGAAATGGGTTTTCTAGAACCCCTGTTTTACGACAGATTGTCGGGACATATCACAGTGCTGGCAAGCACGACCGGTGCATTTATTGTGGGTATACTATGTACCCCCTTTACTATTATACCCCCTTTACTATTATACCCCCTTTGGTACACGTTACAAGCCTCTTTCGTGCACGCGAAGCGTGCACTCCGGCCGGAGGCGGCGGCCGAAGGCCGCCGCCTCCGGCAGGAGTTTTTCAGGCATTAAGACTCATCGGAAGTCGTTCAGCAGATTTATTTTTAGTTCAAAACATTCTAATTTGATGTCAAAGATGACAGGAATAAAAAATAGTTATGTTGAGATTTTTAAGAAATTTGCATAAAATACTCGCCAGCACTGTTATACGAAATTCGGTAAAAACCCAAAATCGCCATATTCAGGTGCCTTAAAAACCATGTTAAAATCGAGTTAGAGATCTGAAATTTTACAGGGCGTCTAGACGTTGACCAAATCGACTGCAAAAAAAGTTTCAGGTTTCAGGAACATCGGGAAGTGGGTTTTCTAGAACCCCTGTTTTACGACAGATTGTCGTGATATCTATATACATATATATATATATTCAGGGATAGACGCTTTGCCAGTCAGTTGGGGGGGGGGTCCAACCCGATCATTTCCGATCATTCCGATCCCGATTTTGGCCTCATCAACCCTCATATCGGAAAAATCGGGAAAATTTAAATCTTCCCTCTGAGGTTTCTAGGCGATATAGGTAGCTATTTCTGTACTTAAATATGACAAGAAATCGATTGGTGGTGGTCCCAGAACCCCAAAATGGTATCTTGTTCCAAACAAGAATCGTTTCGTCCGAAAAAAACAACACACTGTCGTATCAACTCTTGTTTGACAGAAACATCCACCCCGGTCCACAATTGAAAGAGGTACGGTTGGTAATAACAATCGTAACAAATAGCGAACGCTTTAGTAACTTTTGATTTAAATTGTCTCCACAATTTGTAACAGGCTATCTGCAGAAATGGGTAGCACGGTTAATGACCATGGTCCTTTCTCAAACTTCCAATCCTCAGTTATATACAAAGAATAGTCTACACAATTTTTGATAACATTAAAAGGGATGAAAATCACTTTATTTATCAAAATCTTTATTTATCATGTAACAACTTTTCCATAGTACTGGAGAGTAAAACTCTGTTAAACAAAAATATTCTCGAGCACATTTTGAGTCAGTAACAGTAACATGTCAATATGTTACAGACTCAAATGCGTTTAAAAACATTTTAGTAACAATAAATTGTGTTAACTGATGAGGAGGAGGAGGAGGACTGAGGAGAAGGAGGACTGAGGAGGACAGAGGAGGAAGACTGAGGAGGACCAGGACGAGGACTAGGAGGATGAGGACGAGGACTAAGGACGAGGACTAGGAGGATGAGGACGAGGACTAAGGACGATGAGGATGAGGACTAAGGACGAGGAGGAGGACGACTGAGGAGGAGGACTGATTAGGAGGAGGACTGATTAGGAGGAGAAGGAAGAGAAGAAGGAGGAGGGGGATGAGGATGAGAACTGAGGAGGAGGAGGAGAAGGAGAAAGACTGAGGAGAAAGAGGAGGACCGAGGAGGTCTGAGGAGGAGGAGGACTGAAGAGGAGAGGGGGGACTGAAGAAGAGGAGCAGGATTGTTGTGGAGGAAGACGAGAAGAAGGAGAAGGAGGAGGACGAGAGCGAGGACGAGGAGGAAGACTGAGGAGGAGGACTGTTAAAAAGGAGAAGAACGAGGACTGAGGAGGAGGACTGAGGATGAGGAGGAGGAAAAGGAGGACTGGGGGAGGACTAAGGACGAGGAGGACTGAGGAGGAGGACTGAGGATGAGGAGGAGGACTGGGGAGGACTGAGGAAGAGGAGAACTTGGGGAGAAGGATGAGGAGGAGGAGACTGACGAGGACGAAGAGGACTGAGGAGGAAGACTGAGGAGGATGAGGACGTGAACTAAGGACGAGGACTAGGAGGATGAGGACAAGGGCTAATGAAGAGGAGGAGGACGACTGAGGAGGAGGACTGATTAGGAGGAGAAGGAAGAGGAGAAGGAGGAGGAGGATGAGGAGGAGGACTGAGGAGGAGGAGGATAATGAGGAGAATGAGGAGGAGGATGAGGAGGACTGAGGAGGAGGAGGATAAGGAGGAGAAAGAGGAGGAGGAGGAGGATGACTCAGGAGGTGGAGGAGGACGAGGAGGAGGACTCAGGAGGAAGACTGAAGAGGAGGAGGAGGACTGATGAGGAGGACTGAGGAGGAGGACTGATCAGAAGGAGAAGGAGGAGGAGGAGGACTGAGGAGGAGGACTGAGGATGAGGAGAAGGAGAAGGAGGACTGGGGCCGGGGAGGACTGAGGAAGAGGAGGACTTGGGAAGGACTGAGGAGGAGGAGGACTTGGGTAGGACTGGGGAGGAGGAGGAGGAGGAGGAGGATGAGGAGGAGGAGAAGGAGATCTGGGGGAGGACTGATGAGGAGGAGGACTGGGGGAGGAGGAGGACTTAGGAGTAGGGGGAGAAGGAGGAAAAGGAGGAGAAGGAGGAGAAGGAGGAGAAGGAGGAGGAGGACTGGGGACTGAGGAGGAGGAGGACTGAGGAGGAAGAAGATGAGAAAGAGGACTGAAGAGGATGAGGAGGAGGAGAAGAAGGACTGGGGGAGGACTGAGGAAGAGGAGGACTTGGGGAGAAGGATGAGGAGGAGGAGACTGAGGAGGAAGACTGAGGAAGACTGAGGAGGATGAGGACGAGGACTAAGGACGAGGACTAGGAGGATAAGGAGGAGGAGGACTGATGAGGATGAGGAGGAGGACTTAGGAGGAGGACTGAAGAGGATCAGGAGGAGGAGGACTGATGAGGAGGAGGAGGAGGACTCCAGAGGAGGAGGACTCAGGAGGAGGAGGAGGAGGAGGAGGAGGAGGAGGAGGAGGACTGAGGACGGGGAGGAGGAGGAGGACTAAGAGGACGCGAGGACTAAGGACGAGGAGGACTGAGGAGGAGGACGAAAGCGAAGGAGGAGGAGGACTGAAGAGGAGGACTGAGGATGAGGAGAAGGAGAAGGAGGACTGGGGGAGGACTGAGGAAGAGGAGGACTTGGGAAGGACTGAGGAAGAGGAGGACTTGGGGAGGACTGAGGAGGAGGAGGACTGGGGTAGGACTGAGGAGGATGATGAGGATCAGGAGGAGGACTGAGGATGAGGAGGAGAAGGAGGAAAAGGAGGAAAAGGAGGAGAAGGAGGAGGAGGAGGACTGAGGAGGAGGAGGAGGATGAGGACTAAGGAGGAGGATGAGGAGGAGGCTGAGGAGGAGGAGGACTGATGAGAAGAAGAAGGAGGAGGAGGACTGAGGAGGAAGACTGAGGAGGAGAAGGAGGAGGACTTAGGAGTAGGATGAGGACTGAGGAGGACTGAGGAGGACTGAGGAGGAGGAGGACTGACGATGAGGAGAAGGACTGAGGAGGAGGAGAAGGACTGACGAGGAGGACTGACGAGGAGGATGAGGACTAAGGAGGAGAATGAGGAGGAGGAGGCTGAGGAGGAGGAGGACTGATGAGAAGGAGAAGGATGCGGAGGACTGAGGAGGAAGACTGAGGAGAAGAAGGAGGAGGACTTAGGAGTAGGAGAAGGAGGAGGAGGACTGAGGAGGAGGATGAGGAGACTGAGGAGGAGGAGGACTGTTGAGGAGGATGATGAAGATGAGGACTGATGAGGACTGAGGAGGAATACTGAGGAGGACGAGGACGAGGACTAAGGACGAGGAGGAGGACGACTGAGGAGGAGGAATGATTAGGAGGAGAAGAAAGAGGAGAAGGAGGAGGAGGATGAGGATCAGGAGGAGGAGAAGGAGGAGGATGAGGAGGAGGACTGGGGGAGGACTAAGGAGGAGGATAAGGAGGACGAGGACTAAGGACGAGGATGAGGACGAGGACGATCATGAGGAGGACAGAGGATGAGGACTGATGAGGAGGAGAAGGAGGAGGAGGATGAGGAGGAGGAGAAGGAGAAGGAGGACTGGGGGAGGACTGAGGAGGAAGAGGAGGATGACTGAGGAGGAGGATGAGGATCAGGAGGAGGACTCAGGAGGTGGAGGAGGATGAGGAGGAGGACTCAGGAGGAGGAGGACGACTATGAGGAGGACTGAGGAGGACGGATGGGGAGGAGAAGGAGGATGAGGAGGAGAAATGAGGATGAGGAGGAGGAGAACTGAGAAGGAGAAGGAGAAGGAGGAGGACTGGGAGTAGGACTGAGGAGGAGAAGGGGATAGAGGAGGAGGGTGAGGAGGACTGAGGAGAAGGAAGAGGACGAGGACGAGGAGTCAGGAAGAGGACTGAAGAGGACTGAGGAGGAGAAGGACTCAGGAGGAGGAAGACTTAAGAGGAGGAGGAGGAGGACATCTAAATGTTTTGTCTGTTTTTGTCCGTTTTTGTCCGCCCTACTTTTTGTCCGTTTTGAAAATACAGGGTACCGAACGGACACAAAACATGATCCTCCAGCCAAGCATGTGTTACGATACAAATGTACTTGACTATACATTTAAGGTGCAGTGTACTAGTGATTTTATGGTATGTTTAAAGACCGGACCACAAAATATAACCCGGTACCTAGTGTTGTACTAATACATAATAACAAGTAACAGGGATAAAATTAATGAGCAGAAACAATCGATCTCACGTCAAGAGGCCAAAGCACTCGGGTCTGGGAGTACATGACAACTCCAACTAGTAGTGAGCATACTAGCCCCTGCAGTGGAAAAACACATAAAACATACTATTGGAATGTCCAATTGGTTTGTTTTCTCATAGCAATATAGCATTATATGTAGGGGTTCTGGTTGAATTATATCACTTCTGAGAGGTTTTAGAATTTAGAGATCGATTCTGTAAATTTCTCAATTTTCCGATTTTTCCGATTTTTCCGATTTTTCCGATTCCGATTTTGGCCTCATCAACCCTCATATCGGACATCGGGTTGGACCCCCCCCCCCCCCCCCCCTCAGTTGTAGCCTGTATTTAATTGTCCATAGATTCAAAAGTATAAAAGATACAGCCATTTCCGACCACAGGTCTTGTAAATAATTGTTTACACTTTAGTTTACATTGTATAAACAAATTATTTGACGTCATGAACACCCCTTGATGACGTCATCAAGTTAACCGTTTTTTAAACTTGATTTTTGACAAAGTAATAACTTTTAAAAATGATTTTACACCATTAAAAAGTAATTGTATTCAAAATCTGAGGAAATTTTCACCTTAGATAGCTTGTTCAAGCATTCTGAAAATCTACCGGAAAGTTTTTCTAGCTTGCTCCTTCATAAAGATATTCGTCATTGAAGTTTGTGCTTTTTTGAAGAATTATTTTATAAAAACGTCAATTTTGCGATTTAGTATTCTCTGGTGTTGGGCCATGCCTTGGGCTGTGGAGCTCAGTTCTGCTTCCTGTAGGTATAAATTGTGCATTAGGCTAGTTTTAAAGTTAAAAATCGAAAAGTTGCACACGTGGGGACACGCCCAAATTGATAGAAAATTGCTAAAATCACTGAAAATTGCTGTTTTCGTCATTTTCTGTAAACTTTAGAGTGCCGTTGTGATTACAGCTCTTCTTGAAATACTTTGAAACTTTGCATGCTTATCAAGCTATATATAAAACAATTACATGCAAAAATTTACGGCGATTCAATATTGGATGCGCACGCAACGTCCGCTCAAAGTTTGCACGTGCGAAAGGTGAGAATTTTGCTCATTCGTGATTTCCAACAAATTCTGCTTTGCCACGACAGTTTAATGTCATTATAAATGAATTTAATGCCAACTTGAATGAGTATTAAGTGGCATATTCAGTCAGTGATCGACCGATATACTTACCTAAACACAAGGAAATGTTTTTAAAGGAAAAATTTCGAAATTGTTGAAACTTCCTCCTTATTAATGAAGATATCAGTTTATATTTCGACTTTATAAAGTACCCTGACATTATAATCAAAAAGAGATGATATTTGACCAAAACCCATAATCATGGGTAGAGTGGACCGCTGCCAGTGTCTCTCTTTCCCAAACAAAAGGAAATGATATTAATTTGATTGACCGTTCTCAAATGCAAAATGATACCGAGAATGAAATCGGTCGCTCGCTTTTCCCATTCATTTACAATTGTAATAGATTAAGAAGAACTACCCAAAGGCAGCTGTACTCGGCAATAAAGATTCAATAAACTTCAGCTAATTCAATAAGTAATAACTACCACCCTTACCCCGAAATACTAGGTATCGACCCGAACGCAACCCAAAGAGATTTTTACAGCATCTGATTGATGTACCTCATCAATCGAAACTTATTACAATTCGTAAGCCGTGAATGAATGGGAAAAGCGAGCGACCGATTTCATTCTCGGTATCATTTTGCATTTGAGAACGGTCAATCAAATTAATATCATTTCCTTTTGTTTGGGAAAGAGAGACACTGGCAGCGGTCCACTCTACCCATGATTATGGGTTTTGGTCAAATACATACATACATATATATTCAGGGATAGACGCTTTGCCAGTGGGCTATATTCAGGTGTCCATAGATTCAAAAGTATAAAAGATACAGCCATTTCCGACCACAGGTCTTGCAAATAATTGTTTACACTTTAGTTTACATTGTATAAAAAAATTATTTGACGTCATAAACACCCCTTGATGACGTCATCAAGTTAACCGTTTTTAAAACTTGATTTTTGACAAAGTAATAACTTTTAAAATTAATTTTAAACCATTAAGGAGTAATTTTATTCAAAATCTGAGGAAATTTTTATCTTAGATAATTGTTCAAGCATTCTGAAAATCTACCGGAAAGTTTTTCTAGCTTGCTCCTTCATAAAGATATTCGTCATCGAAGTTTGTGCTTTTTTGAAGAATTATTTTATAAAAACGTCAATTTTGCGATTTAGTATTCTCTGGTGTTGGGCCATGCCTTGGGTTGTGGAGCTCAGTTCTGCTTCCTATAGGTATAAATTGTGCATTAGGCTAGTTTTAAAGTTGAAAATCAAAAAGTTGCACACGTGGAGACACGCCCAAATTGATAGAAAATTGCTAAAATCGCTGAAAATTGCTGTTTTCGTCATTTTCTGTCAACTTTAGAGTGCCGTTGTGATTACAGTTCTTCTTGAAATACTTTGAAACTTTGCATGCTTATCAAACTATATATAAAACAATTACATGCAAAAATTTACGGCGATTCAATATTGGATGCGCACGCAACATCCGCTCAAAGTTTGTACAAGCGAAAGGTGAGAATTTTGCTCATTCGTGATTTCCAACAAATTCTGCTTTGCCACGACAGTTTAATGTCATTATATATGAATTTAATGCCAACTTGAATGAGTATTAAGTGGCATATTCAGTCAGTGATGTACCGATATGCTTACCTAAACACAAGGAAATGTTTTTAAAGGAAAAATTTCGAAATCGTTGAAACTTCCTCCTTATTAATGAAGATATCAGTTTATATTTCGACTTTATAAAGTACCCTGACATTATAATCAAAAAGAGATGATATTTTACCAAAACCCATAATCATGGGTAGAGTGGACCGCTGCCAGTGTCTCTCTTTCCCAAACAAAAGGAAATGATATTAAATTGATTGACCGTTCTCAAATGCAAAATGATACCGAGAATGAAATCGGTCGCTCGCTTTTCCCATTCATTTACAATTGTGATAGATTAAGAAGAACTACCCAAAGGCAGCTGTACTCGGCAATGAAGATTCAATAAACTTCAGCTTGTTCAATAAGTAATAACTACCACCCTTGTCCCTTACCCCGAAATACTACTAATACTAGGTATCTACCCGAACGCAACCCAAAGATATTTTTACAGCATCTGATTGATGTAATCAATCGAAACTTATTTATACAATTCGTAAGCCGTGAATGAATGGGAAAAGCGAGCGACCGATTTCATTCTCGGTATCATTTTGCATTTGAGAACGGTCAATCAATTTAATATCATTTCCTTTTGTTTGGGAAAGAGAGACACTGGCAGCGGTCCACTCTACCCATGATTATGGGTTTTGGTAAAATATGCTCATAATGTTTATAATGTCCCCTGAGATTATTACGTCAGCACAACGGTTCGTCGGTCTCTAAATTCTATTCTAAACAGTTCCCCTGGTCGATAACTTGGCAACATCAAAAGTCATAATATGGCAATCTAGAAGATGTAGCCGGTTTAAAGTTAATTAAATAACAAACCTAATCTGGTTATGCGAGATGCCCCAACATATGAGATAAGGGATGAACTGTTCATAGGACGCGTGTTCCCTGAAAATGAGCATGTTGTTTTAATTGAAAACCACGGGTTAATTTATTGTCGTAAAACTCACTGAATGAATGTTTGAAAATGAATTGCAAGGAAAGCTTTTTACTGAAATGTTTTGATTCAGAAAATTGTTGTAACTATATATTTTCAAATATTTTCAAATATTTTCAAAATTCTTCGTCTACACGTCTACCATTACTGTAAAGGTGCTAAACTGCAACTAATTGTAATGCACAGTTTATTGTAAACTGTACTTATCACGATATTATGATGTGCCGGTTATATGAATATTTAAAGCTCACTTTTAGTGTTCCCAATTTTAGAGGGATCTATGTAGATTCTCCGGCTTATAGTAAAGTCGTGTTGGACCATGTGGTCCCAATGTGGTTTACGGTGTTTCTCTTTGTGGAGCTTACAGAACAATCGCTTGTCAGACAGGAAAACTGCTCCTGATTTTCTGAAAGTACAGAATAACAGAATGCTACATTTCCAATTTGGGATCACAAAAACGATACTTACTATGTATTTCAAACATGATATTAATGAAAAATATCAACAAATATGTAAAGTATGTTAAAATATAATGTAAAATATTATATTGAAATCAATGTCTTACATGCCACAGTTGAAATGGAAGGATCTAGGACACGCCTTATCACAACAACCCACAGTAGCATTGTAGATACGACAGTGATCACATCTCAGAGAAGAGCCACGGTTTACTGCCATCTCCACGTTCATTAACTTACCGTCTGATTCTTCAAATACCTGGGGGTGAAAGTACGTGAGGCGTAAATTCTTCTTCATTTCCGATATCTAATTAATGGGCAGTAAAGCAGTTCTGAAATCTAGGGTTTAGATTTGTTATTGTTGACGTGACAAGAGAGGTATGTGTGTTAGAGTAATAGCGTGATTCTAGTTAAATCAACTGCATCATCGTAAAGCAATACAAATATGTAGCAATGCAATGCGCGTTTTGGAGCTTGGTTTTAGGTTATTATTTGCCCTCATTTACGACGAAGTTTGACTGGTTTTAATTATGCCGTGTTTAAAATCAAATTTGTCCATTCTAATTACGCTGTGATAAGTGATTGTAAAATGCTAGCGGTTATAATAAAAACTGTTAAAAGGGGCTGAGATTATCTGGAACGTATTAAATAATCATTAATATACAATGTACAATGTACAATGTACAATGTATATTGTATACTTGTTTTAAGGGGGCCGGGGGGGTCTTCATCAAAATTCTCTCGAAATCGAGTTTATATTTGTTTCTGATAGAGGGGAGTGATATCTATCAGCTGCTTTTGGTCCCATGGAAAAATATTGTTCCTAGCCGAAATTATCGCCGGCCAAAGGTCAGCGCTTATGAGTAATTGTATTGCGTGAGCGATTTTCAATCGCGCGTTCTGAAAATCGAGTCTAAAAATCTATCTTCTCCTACATTTTTTGAGCAATCACCCTTAAACTTTCAGGATATGTTCTTAGGATCAGTTAGAAGAGAACTCTAGAGCCAGAATTTTGAGATAGGCCTTTAAAGATTTTTAATTCGATTTTGAAAATCTTGGACCTTGATTTTTAGAGGTCCAAGATTTTCAAAATCGAATTAAAAATCTTTAAAGGCTTATCTCCAAATTCTGGCTCTAGAGTTCTCTTCTAACTGATCATAAGAACATATCCTGAAAGTTTGAGGGTGATTGCTCAAAAAATGTAGGAGAAGATAGATTTTTAGACTCGATTTTCAGAACGCGCGATTGAAAATTGCTCGCGCAATACAATTACACATAAGCGCTGACCTTTGGCCGGCGATAATTTCGGCTAGGAACAATATTTTTCCATGGGACCAAAAGCAGCTGATAGATATCACTCCCCTCTATCAGAAACAACTATAAACTCGATTTCGAGAGAATTTTGATGAAGACCCCCCCCCCCCCCCCCGGCCCCCTTAAAGAAAAACGATCCATGCTAAAACATTACATCGCGAACGGTAGGATTCGAACCTACGCGGGCAGAGCCCAATTGATTTCTAGTCAATCGCCTTAACCACTCGGCCACGTCCGCATGTTATATTGTGAAAGTTTATTAACGAATATAGTGCACACCTGGAATACATAAAATACATGCATGTATTTTTAGTAAATGTAAACTAAAGGTTTGCGAACAATAGGATTCAAACCTACGCGCAATTTATTTCTAGTGACCAATAATACAGGGAGATATTGCATGTGACCCGTCACTGTTAGATTTGGGATTTACCAGGCAACAACAATCTGTTACCAGATTGACACGTACCTCTGAGCTCCACAGGGCGCAGTTAACGTGAATCCAGTTGTCTACTCCACAAGCCAACAGTCTACCACAACTTTTCTCCGGCAAATCACCTGATAATTAATTAGTTAATAATATGTAATTAATAATTAATCAATTGAAAGCTAGAATTAGAATTTCATAGATAAGGGATAAGGGAAAGATTAAACAGGGAAACAAGAAAAATTTCTTCTACCACTTATCATAATATTTAACGGCCATCGAAACAGGTGCCGCACAGATAACTGAATTCTCACCTTTCTGATTGCACAAGACGCAAGTTCTACAATCCTTCTCAACGAAAGTAGAAGTCTCGTACTTCTGTGGTTCTTTGTGTCGTGTTGAGGTCTTGTTGAACCAGTGAATCTTCTTGGGTGTTTTGACAGGTGTTTTTACGTCAAATTGTCCCTTTTTTACTTTGGATAGCCAGGGGAAACACTCGTTAAGGACCTGAAAATAATTTATATTAACTAATAAATGTATATGTTTAAAATGTATCAACAGCTCTGTTCGAAAAGTTCAGAAAATGGATTGAACACCCCTTTCACATTATAATAGTAATGCTAATGTTTTGCAGGATAAATGATAACGCAATATCCTACACACAGTAGTAATATTCAATACACCCATTTGGTGACAGTTGACAGGTCTATTATAACTGCACCAAGGCATAAACGAAGGAGAGAAGGGGGTTGTACGCTACTGGGGGGGTCACGCTGGTTCTACTCACTGTTCTAGTGAGGGGGGTTGTACGCTAGTGGGGGGGGGGGGGCAACGCTGGTTCTACTCATTGCTCTAGTGAGGGGGGTTGTACGCTAGTGGGGAAGGCAGCACTGGTTCTACTCATTGCTCTAGTGAGGGGGGGGGGTTGTACGCTAGTGGGGGGGGGGGCCAACGCTGGTTCTACTCATTGCTCTAGTGAGGGGGGTGTACGAATTGGGGGGGGGGGGGCAACGCTGGTTCTACTCACTGCTCTAGTGAGGGGGGTTGTACGCTAGTGGGGAAGGCAGCACTGGTTCTACTCACTGTTCTAGTGAGGGGGGGTTGTACGCTAGTGGGGGGGGGGGGGCAACACTGGTGTCTGGTTCTACTCACTGTTCTAGTGAGGGGGGTTGTACGCTAGTGGGGGGGGGGGCAACGCTGGTTCTACTCACTGTTCTAGTGAGGGGGGTTGTACGCTAGTGGGGGGGGGGCAACGCTGGTTCTACTCACTGCTCTAGTGAGGGGGGTTGTACGCTATTGGGGGGGGGGGGGGGGGGCAACGCTGGTTCTACTCACTGCTCTAAAGGTCCCCACAGCACCAGGAGTTGACGCAATGTACCCAAACACATCATTCTCAAACATTCTGATGCTACGTACTGTAGTGTACTTGTGCAGTCGTATTTTGGAGTGGTCTACCACTCCCTGCATAGCTTCCAGGCACTGTAACGTGATTCGTTAGATAGTGGTTTGGAAAATGTTTTCATATATTATAATATGTATCTTAGAGTTAAATTGTTAGCCACCCACCGTGCTGGTATTAAAATTTGAAAAAAAAATTATCAAATCATCAAATTTGACTGAAATTAAAACCTACTACACTATATATATTAACGTTAATTAATTATCCAGTTAACTTACGTGAGCGAGGTTTTCTTGTACGCACTGCATCATTTCCTGTCTCCACACGTTATCCCTGCAACACCGTCTACACACGTACACGACCCTGTCTTCAGGCAGGTTACTCATTGCTTCATACTCTAGCTCCGATATGTTATCACACTGTCGAGATTAATTAATTGTGTAATTAATTAGTCGATTGATTACTTGATGAGTCAGTTGTTTGATCAGTTAATTCAACATTAACAATATATTATATTCATTGGTTAGTTAATTGAGCGATCAGTTAATAATCTTACCTATTTTACAATTGATTTACTAATTAATCCCTTCCGATATAACAATCAATTAGCACGATCGATAACTAATTGATTGCAGGCAATCAATTAGTTTATTAACAAAATTACCAATTATTTTTAAAAGTGATCACCTCGATGTGTACCCAGTGTTCACAGCTCACACACGAAACCATGGGAGTGTCGTAATCTTCATCCTCATACACCGCTTCACACAGGGACAGTAGTTACCTTAACATGGACAATTGTTTAGTTAATTAATAAATTAAGTAATAGGTTATTTAATCGATTTATTGGTGAGTAAGTTGATTCATCAACTTATTTTCCATATTTGATTTAGGCCTTTAAAGAATTTTGTTGTCCAAATTCCAAAATTTGCCGGGCTCCGGGGGAAATTCAGAATTCAAATAAGGTTCTGAGGCGATTCTGACTTTTGAGTAGGTGTCAGGTTTCTTATTCTCCTACGTTTTTAAAGAGTATCAGCTTTATAGCAGAGGCATTTAACGTACTGTATTCCCGTATGCAGTTCAGTTGCATTTCTTTGCAGAACAATTTAAACATCTTGAATTATGTTTTTGTTCATAGTTATAATACACATAACAGAATAGACAAACACTTTCGACCATATCATCACTTTCTTTCTTTAATTTACTAAATTTCTTACAACGTCTTACCAGTACAATGAGTTTCACAGTGCCTGATTCAGTACGATATGCTCTTATAACATGGAGTGTCATCTCAACCATCATGTCACTACTCGGCAACACCATCGTGTTGATATCCTCCCGTAAACACAATGCTCTCAAGCTAGACCAATACTCAATCAGACTGATAGACAATCTGGCAGCAGCGGATATTGGGTACACTCTAACAGGTACTATCCCCACTATCAGTGCTATTGCTGCTGAGGGTTGGATCTACGGGCACCACCTCTGTGTAGCCGACAGGTATGTTTCAAGACTTTTCAGATTTTTTAGGGATTTTAGATTTTACTTGCATGTTTGACGACAGCCTGTAAAGTGTAAATTGATAGTTTGATCTCAGTATATATGCAACAAATCATTTAGTTTGATTGTTGATTCCTAAAAAATTTCCTCAGGTACCTTACCAACGTTTTCTACAACATAACCCCACTGCTAGTGGCTCTGTTGTGTGTCAGCAAGTTGACATGCATCATGTTCCCACTTTCAGTGGTCACACGTGACACAAAACACGTACTCCTAGCTGTGTCTGCTATCTGGGCTCTAGTGGTCACATCTTGTCTGATCAGCACCTTGGTCTACAGGTATATGGTTTGAAATTTAGATCCTTAACTGCATCTTTGGTCTACAGGTATATGGTTTGAAATTTAGATCCTTAACTGCATCTTTGGTCTACAGGTATATGGTTTGAAATTTCAATCCTTAACTGCATCTTTGGTCTACAGGTATATGGTTTGAACTTTGAATCCTTAACTGTATCTTTGACAGTCCTTACTATATACTTACTTTAGGTAACAATAATAATGGTACGGAGTTTATCAGTATGTATCGCTATTATTATAGTGCTGATGCATTTTATTTTATCTATGTATTTATTGGTTCACACTCCACAGGGACAACATCTACTACGACCACATCTCATACCAATGTTGGGTTGACTACACTCACAGAGAATACTTCGGCACCTTTCTAATCATCTACATGATTCTAGTGGCAGCAGTGATCATCACTACAACAATATGGCTGATTGTCCTCGTTAGGAGGCTCACAGGAGGGACTCAAACAAAAGGAGCTACAGCTATCATTGCAGTTGCAGCTATCTACTCCCTTGCTACTGTACCCACAGCAGCTATGATGGCAGTGGAACTAACAGTGTGGTACGAGTCCTGGAGTGATGATGCTAAAGCGCTCGGTAAAATTATTACCATGTACAGTTTTTATTTGACTAACTTTTGTAATCCAATAGTTTATTACTTCTCCATTAGAAGCTTTAGAGAGTTTGTGGATAAGAAGATGTTCAGAAGAGGGGAGCTGCCTTCTCCAGGAAACACTCCCGATAATAAGACAGTTTCTACCGCAGTTTCTACCGCAAAAACACCTTTGCTTGGAGATAATAAGACAGTTTCTACCGCAGTTTCTACCGCAAAAACACCTTTGCTTGGAGATAATAAGACAGTTTCTACCGCAGTTTCTACCGCAAAAACACCTTTGCTGGGAGATAGAAAGGACCATATTTCCTAATACGCTTTTATTCAAGAACATTTCCAATTAACTTTTGAGAGATTGACAAAAATTTGACGCTATTGATATTTGATTGCTTATTCTTTTACACTGATTTAATATTATAATTATAATGATGGTCAGTTTACCTCTGATCATATCTCAGATATCTTTCAAGACTCAATGGGGGGGGGCCAATGGCATAAAATGGCATAAAATGGCATAAAATGGAGACTTTTTCTATGGAGAAAATGGAAAAACCCATGAGTAATTCTCCATTTTCTCCATTTTATGCCATGAATTTTGTCTTCGAAATTTCATCTTTAACACCATTTAACACCTAAATTGGACATCCTAACATGTTTATTTACGCTTACTAGGGACGTAACAAGCTTAGGAAAGCTCATAGTAGGCTACTAGATGCTTATACTAGGTTAGTAGAGGCACACTTCAGGCAAACTCATAATTACTCAAGCCTAGTGTAAAGTTATTTCTACAGGCTACAGCAGGAGTGAGTAATAGGGGAGAGTAATAGGCACTGAGAAGTGAGACCTACATCCTCGAAAGTCGAAACAAGCTCGCACTGCAAAGGGGAGGCCTGCCTTCCGAGATCGCATTACCACTTACCAGGGGAAGGCTCGAGTCCAAATATGTGTATCGAGGGGTAGGTGCAGACTTCGATAAACCGAAAAACCAAAAAAATATTTTCGGCTAATAATGAAGAGGGTAGCATGAAACGTGGAAAAAAGTGGTTTTTAGAAAAACTTTGAAAAAAGAAAACAACAATTTTTCAAGAAAAATTTTTTGACTTAGAAAATTTCCGGCCCGAGTCATTCTCGATACGTACCTCTCGCATCGAGAGCTCCCGAATCCGAGCTCGTGTTGCAAAGGGGAGGTCTGCCTTCCGAGAACGCATTACCAGGGGGAAGCCTCGAGTCCAAAATTGTGTACCGAGGGGTAAATTTCTAAGTCAAAATTTTTCAAAGTTTTTCTGAAAAACACTTTTCTCCACGTTTCATGCTACCTTGTTCATTTTAAGCCGAAAATATTTTTTCGGTCAAAATTTTTCAAATTTTTCTGAAAACCGCTTTTCTCCACGTTTCATGCTACCCTGTTCATTATTTGCCGAAAATATTTTTTCGGTTTTTCGAAGTCCACAACTTCCCCTTGATACACAATTTTGGACTCGAGATAATGCGATCCCGGAAGGCAGGCCTCCCCTTTGCAACAAGAGCTCGGAATCGGGAGCTCTCGATACGGGAGGTACTATCGAAAATGACTCGGACCGAAAATTTTCTAAGTCAACATTTTTCAAAGTTTTTCTGAAAACCACTTTTCTCCATGTTTCATGATACCCTGTTCATTATTGGCCGAAAATATCTTTTTCAAAAATAATTTTTCTCGAAATTCTAAATTTTTCAGGTTTTCAATGGCATAAAATGGCATAAAATGGCATAAAATGGAGACTTTTTCTATGGAGAAAATGGAAAAACCCACGAGTAATTCTCCATTTTCTCCATTTATGCCATTGGCCCCCCCCCCCCCCCCCCCCCCCGACTCAATATTAAGTAAATCATGAAATTAGTCATGAGGGTAAATGTACAGTGTACACTTAATTAATATTAGAGATAGCAACCAATCATTGATTTTATTAAACAAATTAAATAATAGAATTAACATAATTTAATTGGTATTAAAATGATATATTACCTTTACTGTAAAGCTTTCCACACGGTTTACACACTGAGAAATCATACAGCCATTTTGTTTCACTGTTACCCTTAGTTCCACACTATGAAAAATGTTAAATAAAACTTACTTGAAAACTACCAAATACAAATTAGGTCAAAACGGTATTTTTTCTTATGTCTGTTCAAACGATTAATTCTAGCTGAGCGTATAAATTTTCGTGAGAGAATAAAAACTGCATATTTAGGTTATTTTTAAATTTCAACAATTATACTGAGGCATAATTTGGTCACCAAAATAAGCTTTAAAATCACAAACCTTCCTACAGAAGAGGCAAACTGGACACTTCCAAATTCCGTTCTTACTGGGAACTTTGCAGATGTCAGAAGGGAGACAGGATGCATGGTAGGTGTGGTAGCACTCACAGCACTTTAACAACTGGGAAATAAGAGTATATGGTGAGCAGATATTCAAATCAGAGGGGGAAGGGGGGGGGGGGGGCAATTTGGGCATGGGGTTGACCAGCGCGAGCGGAAACAATATACTGTCCATGTATTTGAGTTTGTTAAAAAAACAACAAGCTATTAGCCTATAATAACTTTATCACAATATTATCTTATATTGACCTCCCTCTCACACTACAAGCTATTGTCTTACCATTTCCTCGGTGTTTTTACTGCACACGTGGCACATTATACACCGCTCACACTTCCAGTCAGCTGATATCACTTCGTCATCCTCAATGTCAACACAGTATCTGCGATACAGATTGAATAAAATGGGGGGCCTTTGATGTACGGTAGGGAACATTTTGAGTAGGTACAAATACTATTGTTTTGTTTTAAAGACCCGAGGGCCACCCTTAAGGGCTTTGAAACCATTTTATTGAGTATAATATAATATAAAAATAAACTATAATCGTAACATTCATGTCGATACTAACTGAAATAATATAATCTGTAGTTATGATAATAATACTTACTGTCACTTAATTAAGATATATGATATAATAAAATAAATATCTCTTTTATTTCCACACTAATTCTCACACCAAGGTTTAATTCACACACCAAAACTTTAAATTTTATCAAATATTCACCCAATTCTGGTTAAGAACGAGACATATAAGCTTACTTGTGAAAAGGTTCCGCACAAGCAGAACAGAATATAAATCCGCCCAATCCCGAACTGCCACATAAATAACAGAGCTCAGGGCAGCTAGAACCGTAGTGGGTAGTTGGTATAAAGTATCCTTCCGTCCAAACTTGATCCATACTGGCTTCCTGATGAGCAATGATTTTAAGATTGATTTGGGTTCAATTATTATATCCAGATAACGAGAGTGTGCAAGTGATCAATGCGACTAAATCAATTAGTACGACTTACTCTCCAAAGTATTGTGACTAAGCCACCATCCAACTTGTTAAAAGTCTGCTCCTCCTTTTTTGCCTGTTTCTTTGGCTGGGATTTTCCGCGTTTACCGACCGACCCTTTGTATCTTCTACCCCGCTTTTCAGTTTCCTCCGCTGTGTAAAAATGTGTAGAAATGTGTCAATACAAGTTATAATAGCACAAGGCATGGCTTCCGTTCAATTGAAAATAATTTAGCCCTTAAGGGCACGCATAATTTGGTGAGTGAACACAGCTAAATCGTGCAATACAAATGTGTTCTATGATAGCCAATCCTGAAAGTTGAGACGCGTGAAAAAGCACGTGCTTTGATTGTAAGCGATTAACAAAATTCGTGGGTTCAACACATCTTAAATCAAGCTCTAATATGACGTAATCGTTAAGATCATGCGTTAATAGTTGTTGGCCAGTAATTTCCCGCGATTGTGCTAAAGCAAGCGCTAATTAAGGCAACATTTAAAATTCTACAATAGTATAAGATGAGTGTACGTTGAACCGCGCCAAAAATCCGATGCTGAAGCCAACTTTCTATAATAGCGCGCGCAAAATTTTAGGTTAAATTTTCACCATTTGCCACTGATCGTCCCACAAGATCAAAACATTGAGGTTATTTACCTGGTTTGGCATCCATGTCATCCTTGGTTTTCACGCTATCAGTATCTTCTGATTCAAGATCAGTGACGTTTAAAACTTCTGATACTGCTCCAGCTATGGAACCACTGCTTGACTCTGTTTCTTTCTTCACAATTGTATTGTCCTTTTCAGTTGGGTTTTCAGCTCTTTTCCCGGTTAAAACTTTATCATCGGATTCAGCTGGCGTTTGATCCTGTGCTGCGTGTGAAGCTGATTGCAACTCTTCAGAAACGTCAATTTCTGTTTCGACTTTACTTCCATCTTTTGTTGTATCTACTTCTTTTGAAACAGATATCATCGGGGAATCGTCCAATTCACAACTTCCACTGGGCCTGGCAGTCTGATCCACAGGATGATTAGTTGTTCCCGAAACTGAATCAACAGGCTCCTCTTTGATTTTAACCTCATCAGAGGTGGAGATGTCGGAAGACTTTTGAGGAGTTTGTGTCAGCATTTTAGGTTGCTTGATTTCTACTCTCTGCAAATAAAAGGGGTATTTTTCGGATACAAGCCAAATAAAATGTAACAAAATATCAATAATACAACGAAATCAGCCTCGAAGGTCATATTTAGTAATCTATAACAACTCGGTTTAAAAAATCATATTATTACAATTAAACTGATTGATTGAATAAATGATGAGCTAAGCATGTAGCTCTCTGTGTCTGACCTTATCTAAGTGTTTTGCCCAAGACGTTAGAGTCTGAAAAGACAAGTTCATATATTTAGGACAATTCAGACCGTGGTCAACTAAACACTGAACTAGGGTTTCGGGCAGCTCGCCACTGAGAAGCACTTGTGTCATCTTCTTTACTTTCGGCATTCTAAGACCTGGAGGTATGGAGCTGTATGAGAAGAAGTTGTGTGCAAAACTAAGCCAAACACAGTGCCAAAATGGTACATGTGTTTCAATACAGCTGAAACTATTTACAAAAACAACCATCTCGCCGTGTTTCAGAACAAGTATCTGCGTAGAATTGCGGTTTTTTAATTGTATTGAGCGATGTACGACGAAAAATGAAAGTCTTGCATACAAATAATAAACCATTTGTTAAATGGGGTCCAGTTCCAATTTACCTCTGGATTGACACAAGGGCGAGAGATCGTGATCACTTTTAGTTAAGAACAAGTACAGTCCTTCTAACCATATAGGTACCGTAACAAACAACCCTGCAAATATCATCATCACCGTTATCTGGAAGTTTTTATCAAAGGTCAAAAACATATCACTAAACCTGCTTTGACCTCAGAAAGACTACAGTGCTTAGTTATTGTTATTGAAGTGATGTACGAAACAATGTTCCACTATTTTCAACAATCCCGTAGCCTCTGACGCGGTGAGGATCAACAATTTAAACAGCCTCTCAGCTCCTCCAACAACTGTGAAGATGATCTAAAGTAACCACCCCTACCCTCAAACCCCCACTCAACAAGATACTAACCGAGAGTGTGGTGTGTATAGCCTGTGACGTCACTAATCACCAACTTCTTCAGCAACATCACATCCTCGTGAAGGGGGGTTTTCTCGGCTGCACTCCGCTTTATTTCGAGCTTCAGCTTCTTTGACTGAACGGATGGGTTATTAAATAACCATCCAATTTAATTGGTAACCTTTACTAATAAAAATATTACCAATTCTATAACTTATCACACGCACATACAAGGTGTTTCATAAAAAGTCTTTTTTTTAAACCAAAAAAAAATTATACGTAGTCCGAGGAGTCCTAATCCTTCTCGCGTCCTAAGATGACGTTTCTCTTGTCTGATATATAAAGGAGAAAATAGGAGCAGAATAGGAGCAGAATAGGAGCAGAAGGAGAAAATAGGAGGCAGAATAGGAGCAGATAGGAGCAGAAGGAGAAAATACCTTGTTGAGATCAGAAATGGTCTCCTTAGGATATTTCTTCAGAATGTCCATTATTCGCTTCCTGGCTGTGTTACTGTCTACTGAGTGTTCAGCCCCAACTTGGGGTGTTTTGGGGAGAATTGATAACAGGTCTGTTTTACTGTTTGATAGTATCTGAAATTGTGTTTGTTACTGAGAATAAGTCGGTTGCCTTGAAGACGAAAAATGGGTTTGTTTAATTCGAAATAAGTTGCTATATGCAGAAATTACTCGGTTTGAAACAGATTTGTAAAGACTATTACGTATTTAACTTTAAGTATAATTTGATCTGACGTAAACTGTAAAGCCTCTTAAGAAAATAATTCTTGCTGTTAAAGATCATCAGTAACGTTTATTCTATTTTGGTTTCTAACTCTAAGACTAAGTTCAAATAAGTACGGTTCAAGACAGGTTGCACACTTGGTGATGGTTTAAATACTAACCTGCTTTATTGGATAAGTAGTATTACCGTCATGTGCTAAATTTGCAAACATGGAATTTGCCCAATTATAACGAGCAAAACCAATTATTTAGAGGAGCTAAAACTTCCACGGAATACCCTATTTGATAATTACCATAATCAAAATTAGTGTACATGTCTGTACAGGCGAATTCCTACTGTAATACTTAAATTGTTATTTCACTGCCAGTGCGACAATATTTAGAAGTATGCAGTACAAAAGGGCAAGAAAAGATTACAATCAATAGTCAGTACCTCAGTGGTCAACCTCATCGATGCTCATGCAACAAACATTTGCGGTAGAAATGGGCAAAATGAGAATCGTTTCAACATTTGTCGGTCAAAATCAATGAATATCCCCCTAATACCATACTCTTACCCCCCCCCCCCCCTCCGGTCCCCAATCATATATTAACGCATGCCTGTATTCCTTCCATGGTCATGTTCAGTAGATTAGCCAGAGACACCAGCTCTTCAGGACTAGGTTCCGGCCTCAACTTCCAGTACCTGATAAGAATAGATTATGATAGATGATTAACTACTAATGAGTTAATTTAATGGAATCAACAATAATGATTATTAGCTACATTAAAGTGGATCTACTTGTGATATTGCCAATCAAAATTGAAGGTACCATTGAAGGCAACAAATGGTTCCAATAAAATTCTTTTTGATGATTGGATTAGCAAGCAGATGAACTAACTTATAAACGAGCAAATCTTTAAAGAGAGCCTCCTTGTGTGCTCCTTCATAAAGAAGTTTGTTCAACATCTGATCTAAGATATCGTCCTCGTCGCAGTTGTCTTCTTCATCGTCGGAAGATGTATCGTATTCTTCTGTCAGCTCTTCCTTGATACTTTGCACCCGCTGAAATATTGGCACATATATCTTTCAGTATTTAAATTTACAATTTGATTTATACTAAAGAATACGACATCAAGTAACAATATCAGTACAGGACTTCAGATCAATGTTTTTTTATTGAGTTATTTTATTTGTTTTCATAATTGAGATAAAGGTAGTTTTATAATTTTGAAAACAACAATATATCTTTACATACCGTATGCAAGTTCTTTGGAGACTTCAACACGCATTTCCTGGATACACACTTCCTTCTCGACTTGTTACCATTGTATAGCTTATCAAGACAGTACCGACATGTACCACACGGCGGCCTCTTGCAGTTCTCGCACTTGTTGCAACTCTGAAACTTTCTGCTCCTGAAATTAGGTGTTGTTAATTCACTTTGAATAGTTAATTAATTACAAATATAAGTTAATGTAATATAGTAGATATGTGTGATAATATAACATTATGCGGATAACTGAATTCAAACTATTCACAGAAATTATACTAATATCCACAAACAAATACAATCAGAACTGTTCAATACAGCTATTTCTGCTGTGAAGTATATATAATAACCATTGAACTATGTATCATGGAAGGTTAATAGCCATAATAATTACTATTATTTACTTACTTTTTCTCAGACTTCTCGACACGCTCTTTAGACTGTTTTCTTAACTTTTCAACTTTTTCTTGGGATTTGATACTAGACTCAGGAATGCTACATACTGTATACTTCCAATAGTTTTTAGGACAATGGATGCTATCATCAAATCCAAGGAATTGATCCTAGGATAAATTAGGTATTTTAGAGATGCATTAATTAATATCCGATTAAGATCCATATCGAATGACACATTTATCTTCATAATTTTAAGTACAACATTAAATATTTAGATCCAATCATATTTTACATGATTATATAAAGATAGATTTGCTGTTTAAGTTAACATTACACAGAGGAAAAATCATAATGATCACTGTGAGCAGATCCAGCACTATAAAAATGTAATCAACTGCACATTAAAGTAACTGCATATTAAATTATAGTTTAATGTTACCTTTTCTTTATCTGACATCGAATATCATTACATCTTATGCTGGATATCACTTTGACATGTAACCTTTGCTGAATAGTTTGTTATTTCAATGAACTCAGAACTGAAACCTTTTTGTCTACATTTGTGGACATTTCTTTAGCTTTAAAATGGTAAAATGATAACAAAATATGGATGTAGATTATGTAGATTGTGCAGACAAAGCGTTTTATATTTTAAATCAAAACAGTTGGACAGGTAGATTCAAGGACAGAAATATGGCACAAACCCTATTCCACACATGTACATTGTAGTGAATTGATCGGTGCTTTGCTATGCTATTTAGCTTGCTGAAACAAAGGGACGCCACACACACTTTTACTCTATTCTTAACCTCATGCAATGTTACATGCGTAATTACAAAACCTCATAGGAAGGCTTGTGAAATTTATGTACATTCTGTGAACCTATGCATATCCTCATCTAAAAACAATGATAACTGAACTTCCAATTCAAGACATCAGCAAATGTATGTATAATAATGACACTTTCTTGAATTCTTCTTGTGCTGAAATTGATTTGTAAATGTGTAAAGTTCAATTGTATGCAACAATTTATCGCTAAATATTCATAACAATTAGATAAGGAACTATCACACTGTAAAGGATGCAACATACTGAATTGGGAAAAATGGGTATCATTTACATCAGTTTTTGGTCAAAATTTTGATACCACACTATTAATCGAGCAGAAGTGTAGCTCTACTTGCTAATAGGAGGACACCAAACACAATGAAGATATATCATAGCAGATGATAGATGAGCCCAATAAAAGACATTACAACAAAGAGTAGTTGTACAGGAAGAGGAATGCAGTTTAAATACGTAGGGTCTTATACTTTTAGGTAATGAATTGTTTCAAACAGTATACACATAATGTCACAATGACCCTATATAACAAGAATTGCGCCAGTTGTTTCATTTTAGCGGACGCTAGATTTCCATTCCACATTTACTATAAATTTAAGTATAAGCTCCAATCATGGCTCACTTCAATCTTCATGATAATAATATTGATAAATTATGCATTAAGTACGGGAAACGCTTGAATTCAGTTCAATTGCCGTAGAAGTACTAGTAGAACTTAACTTGTATCTGTAATTCAAGAAATTGTAAGCAAAGGTAAACTATATACTCGTATACACATCAATATAATAATACACTACGCGTGCAAATTGGGTTCATAACCTAATATTATACATTACATCGTATACATTAAAACACAGTCGCGCCGCGCATTCATAGATCACAGGCTATCTATACATCACATCTCCGCAAACAATCCTCGCGCGCGCTCAACTTTTTCGTTGCATGGTAACGGACGTAAGGAAGGAAGGAAGGACACACGACATATTTAAACCCACCTATCTCGTTCTCCACATCATCGTTTTTCTGCAAAAACCTTCATTCGTAACCTTTCACTATTGCTTTTTTACAAAAGGGTGAAATGGAAAAAATAACCCTTTGAAAACTCAATATTTTGAAAATCACCCTTGACCTTGTGGCTCCAAGTTCAAATCTAAACTGTCTATATTGACAAAGTTCTTTCTCGCCCCTCTGTCTCCCCGGAGAGAAATTACCGTTGTTCTTAAGATTTCGAAACGAAGGCGCTTCCTAATGTATCTGAGTACCTTTGCCCAGTGTGGTCTTATACCGATGTTGTGTTTCATGTTTGAGACTTACATTTGCATTGCTTTGCTGATGAAATACTGTACCTATTCCGTCAACTACATTTGACAATTCGATTTTAGAGGACACACCCAATCAACATTGAATTGCTTGTTATGTACTCGTGTTTGCGAACTTGCTAGAAACTCCATTTTAACATATTGTAATTTGTTATTAAATGAGGAATATGATCTGAAAAGATGTAAAATGTATTAAAAATGACGGAGTTTTCGAGCAATTTGTTAAATCTCGTTAGCTAAATTGATTGGGTAATCAAGTGATAGCGTGCTACGATAGCGTAATGAGGCTTTTGCGTGATTCCCATCGGGCGGATTTAGTCTCAATCACCTGACACTAGAATTTAATTTTTTAAAACAATACACTAGTAAGTTGGCAAAATAGCAAATATAAATATTTTTGTTGTTTTGATTTGGTTCGATTAAAATCATAATCATAAATTAATGATTATCAAACACCTTGACAAATAATAAACAAGTATGAAGAAATTAAGACAGATGCAATTTTTATACGACGCTGGTTCAACCATTAATTGACAATGCAGCCGCGACATCTATCCAAATTGCTGTTTAGCAAAGCAACAATATCGCTTGTAGCGCAATGCACTACTGGGCCGCGCCGCGCATCAAATAATGTTTAAACTTATTGTAGTGCAATGCATTACTGGGCCGCGCCGCGCACTCAATTATGCTTCTCGCAAGATCGGCGTTAAATCGGCGAAATTCGCTATTGGACCTTACCTGGGGACCTCAGGCTATCATGTTTATAAACATTCCGAATAGAGATTATAATTAGGCGGAATGACAGGCTGAGCGCATTTTAGTAATACTAGACCCTGCCGAGCTGCGAAGAATTTACGTCGTCAATTAAGTTTACTTACAAATATAGGGCCTCATCGAGCTGCAAAATATTGACATTGGGAATCAACGATATCACAACTCAAAGCAATCATGATAATTCGCGCGGCGCATCGAAGCGGTGACGTCTTCAAAGTTTAAACGGGGAAAAAAATGTGTTTTCCTTTAAAACTGATTTGTGACCATTATT